GCAGTCACGAAAGCTTTAAATCAAAAGTATGGAGTTTGTATGTTCTCCCTCTGTTCTGCGTGGGTTCCCTCCAGGTCCTTTGAAAAAAAAATAAGAACCTAAAGTGTATTGACCAAATATCCCAATGCTAACGAATTAAAAGCAAACTACTCAATTGGGATAACACATAGCAACATCACCCACGACTGTGAACATTTAGCAAGACCCTCCTGAAAATACTATTGAGACTCAATGAGGTTTCCTGGGTAAACAGGCATAGTAATCATAATATTAATGCAATTTATATTTTTCGAAGGAGATCTGGGTTAGAATAAACACATCGTAACAACTAAGACCCGGGTGCAACACATTAAAGTGTCGAATCAAACAGGGTCTCTCTAGTGCAACACTCTAAATTGAAATGGCTAACTAAACGTCATAACAGTAACATGTTCTGGCGTGCCACGAATTGAATTCACATTTAAACATCATCACAGCTAACATGTTGCAAAGTGCAACAAAGCACTGTGTTGTTCCATCTTGCAACCTGCGATCTGCCTCCTCGCCCCCCCCCAGTCCCTTCCTCGTCGTTTCTCCGTTGCAGCTCCGGCCATGTGGATTTCACGTCGGCGTCGGCCTTCTGTCATAATCGGCAGCTCTTTATCTTTCTCTCATTTATTCTCCCGCGCCTCTGAATTTCCTTTTTTAAGCTCAATTAGTTGTTTGTATTACAATTTGCATTTATCAATTTAATGACCGAACGAATGATTGACGTGACACTGTACTTGTAAATACCACTTTTGCCAGTACCAAAATATAATAATAGGGTTTTCCCCTTTTTTCTGGCAACAAAACTGAAACCTTTTTACAAGGATTCATGTCTGCATTAACCACAATACCTGCAGTCAAAATGCAAACAAAAAAATACTATGATAATATATGTGGCATTGTCCTTGAAACTGATTGGTCCACACCAAGGGACGGCTTTCTTTTGAGCCTCGACCCAATTGGTGCTCGACCAGATGACGCCAAAAGGCGTACAAAAGAGGTCTAATGATGTAGATGCCCACCCCGAGCCGTCATTATTTTGATAGTGCATTGTCTTTGAGCTGTACGCCTTTTGGCGTCATCTGGTCGAGCACCAATTGGGTCGAGGCTGAAAAGAAAGCCATCCCTTGGTGTGGACCAATCAGTTTCAAGGACAATGCATATATTATCATAGTATGTTTTTTGTTTGCATTTTGACTGCAGGTATTGTGGTTAATGCAGACATGAATCGTCGTAAAAAGGTTTCAGTTTTGTTGCCAGAAAAAAGGGGAAAAACCCTATTATTATAAAAAGGGCATCTGAAGTGTAAACAATGATGCAAAATTAAATAACTTATTGATGATAATTATAGTCTTATTTTCAACAATAATGTTTGAGGTTACTGAGAAAAAATGTTTGGTTGCAATGACTTAATATCAGGCTGAAATGTTTTTATTCATTATCGAAAGCACAGGAATAGGACAGGATCATCGACTGACACCAACAGTATGTATATTGAACTTCTTTCGCACCGTACGTAGCCAACCGTGATAATCCTAGGTGTGGACAGAAAGAAAACTTGCATCAGCATTCATAACAGGACAGAGAATAAAGTCCTGTATATTCCTCCCAGTGCTTTACAGCAATCGTGCTCCATTACATCTGGCTCAATCTCGGAGTTACATTGATGAAGACAAAAAAATATAGATAAATATGAGCATATATTTCACATTCTCTCAATACACAACGTTTCCATTAACCACCATCTTTATTCGTGTGCATTTACATTCAGAAATGCGAGTGTACGTGTGCGTGTTTGCCGTCAACACTTTTGTGTGTGTGTGTGGTCAATTTGCAAGGGAGTGGAAGCCATGTGCGGGAAAGCAACTGACGCGATGATAAAATACATGTTCGGGATGCGTTCATCAGCACTCCAGAGGGCATGAACATCTGTGCCTTCCTTGAGAAACAATAACTACTCTTGCCTGACATAAGTTTGTTTAATGCATTGGCATCGTCAGCATTGCCTTGATAGCATTACAGCTTCGTGCGTGATCATAATTAGATGGCTACGTACGGTGCGAAAGAATGTCAACATGCATCATACATCATCATCTCAAGACTTTCCTCTTCTAATATATTAATTGACTGTCTTTCCATGAACTTTATTAAAAATAATTTACTGCAATCTGCTCCTCCCTTGACTACTTTACCACCACCAAACGCTCCATTGCTATTCACCTTGGTTAGTTCGATTCTGCCCTTTTAAATGGACGTAGACATTTGAAGTCTAAATAATTATCAATGTTAAAACGAACAAAACGATGTTTATGGTGGCACTGTAATACACGTACAGTGAGAGAAAACAGTATTTGATCCCCTGCTGATTCTGTACGTTTGCCCACTGACAGAAATGATCAGTCTATAATATAATGGTAGGCTTATTTGAACAGTTAGAGACAGAATAACAACAACAAAATCCAGAAAAACGCATGTCAAAAATGTTATAAATTGATTTGCATTTTAATGAGGGAAATAAGTATTTGACTCCTCTGCAAAACATGACTTAGTACTTGGTGGCAAAACCCTTGTTGGCAATCACAGAGGTCAGACGTTTCTTGTAGTTGGCCACCAGGTTTGCACACATCTCAGGAGGGATTTTGTCCCACTCCTCTTTGCAGATCTTCTCCAAGTCATTAAGGTTTCGAGGCTGACGTTTGGCAACTCGAACCTTCAGCTCCCTCCACAGATTTTCTATGGGATTAAGGTCTGGAGACTGGCTAGGCCACTCCAGGACCTTAATGTGCTTCTTCTTGAGCCACTCCTTGTTGCCTTGACCGTGTGTTTTGGGTCATTGTCATGCTGGAATACCCATCCACGACCCATTTTCAATGCCCTGGCTGAGGGAAGGAGGTTCTCACCCAAGATTTGATCGTACATGGCCCCGTCCATCGTCCCTTTGATGGGGTGAAGTTGTCCTGTCCCCTTAGTAGAAAAACACCCCCAAAGCATAATGTTTCCACCTCCATGTTTGATGGTGGGGATGGTGTTCTTTGGGTCATAGGCAGCATTCCTCCTCCTCCAAACATGGCGAGTTGAGTTGATGCCAAAGATCTCCATTTTGGTCTCATCTGACCACAACACTTTCACCCAGCTGTCCTCTGAATAATTCAGATGTTCATTGGCAAACTTCAGACGGGCATGTATATGTGCTTTCTTGAGCAGGGGGACCTTGCGGGCGCGGCAGGATTTCAGTCCTTCACGGCGTAGTGTGTTACCAATTGTTTTCTTGGTGACTATGGTCCCTACAAGATCCTCCCGTGTAGTTCTGGGCTGATTCCTCACCGTTCTCATGATCATTGCAACTCCACGAGGTGAGATCTTGCATGGAGCCCCAGGCCGAGGGAGATTGACAGTTCTTTTGTGTTTCTTCCATTTGAGAATAATCGCACCAACTGTTGTCACCTTCTCACCAAGCTGCTTGGCAATGGTCTTGTAGCCCATTCCAGCCTTGTGTAGGTCTACAATCTTGTCCCTGACATCCTTGGAGAGCTCTTTGGTCTTGGCCATGGTGGAGAGTTTGGAATCTGATTGATTGATTGCTTCTGTGGACAGGTGTCTTTTATACAGGTAACAAGCTGAGATTAGGAGCACTCCCTTTAAGAGTGTGCTCATAATCTCTGCTCGTTACCTGTATAAAAGACATCCAGGGAGCCAGAAATCTTTCTGATTGAGAGGGGGTCAAATACTTATTTCCCTCATTAAAATGCAAATCAATTTATAACATTTTTGACATGCGTTTTTCTGGATTTTATTGTTATTCTGTCTCTCACTGTTCAAATTAACCTACCATTAAAAGTATAGACTGATAATTTCCTTGTCAGTGGGCAAACGTACAAAATCAGCAGGGGATCAAATACTTTTTTCCCTCACTGTAGTGATGCAATGGCGTTAATTACCAAATTTCCACGAGGATGTCTTTCAGAGCCTCGCAGCGACTTTTGGCTGCTGGCCATCGAACGAGACGGCGGTCACCGCGTCACGTGGCGCTTTCAGATGCGCTCCTGTAGCCGTCTGGAACGCTCTTCCTTCTCATATTAGGAAGCCACTGGAGCTATGCACTTTTAAATGAAGTAGATTTAAAACGAATTTCTGTAGAACTGCTTTGTGTGTTTAGTGTGTCGTCCTTCCCCGCACCTACGATTATCACGGTTGGCTACGTACGGTGCAAAAAAAGTTCAACATACACGCATACAGTGGCACAGTATTGCATTTGGAACCGTTGTAAAGCATGTCATTCCGTCTCCTCCAGATTGTATGATGCTCCTGAAAGTAAGACGCATCAAAAACATGTGCCCGATGTGAATAAAGTGATACAAATATAGCCACACACACACACATCTTTCTATTAAAATACGGGAATGGTAACCCAGGGAATATGCAACACCTTTGTGGTGACCCCCTCGACATCGGTGCTTCCAGGCCACTGCTCATATTAGTCCATGGGCCAGAGCAGACATTGTTACCACCCAAGGTAGCAAACTTCACTCAATCCAATTTTACTCGAACAGCAAATAACAGCTCAATTAAAACAGTTATTCCATAATTCACTCTTATTGGCCACACACGATTGGAAGCACTACAGTTATGCCAGCTCAGGTGGTATTGACAAGTGAAATATATGCTCTGGGCTCATGGACCATCAACTCTGAGCTATTTCAGGTTTGATAGTGCTGTTTGTTGCTGGCCACTTGGCATTTGAGGCTTTTGTGCCTGTACTCAGCACCTGTTAAATCGACATTGAAAACGAATTTATTTAGAACTGCTTTTGGTGTTTAGTTTGTTGCCCTTTCCCCGCATCTCCAATCAGCACGGTTGACTAAGTACGGTGCGAAAGAAGTTGAACATACATACCTGTGTAAAGTAAATAAAAAACGAACCATAAAGCCGCTGCGCTAACGAGGTCCTGGCAACGCCGCTGGGTTTTGCTCCAGGTGACTGCTGGGTCCTGGCCGCCATCGCTTGCATGACCATGAACGAGGAGCTGCTGGCTCGCGTCATCCCGGCAGGACAGAGCTTCGAGGAGAACTACGCCGGCATCTTCCACTTCCAGGTGGGCACCCGCCCCTGCCGAATCACGCCGAAACAATGGTCCCCAATCCTTTCCCACTGGCACATCCGAGCCGAGCTAGTGCGGAGAACCCACAGTGTAGGTGGTTTATTTTTTCCAGGGGCTATTTGCCGTGTCGTGACCAAACCATGGCCCTACGAGATGCCTGGAAGTCTGCAAGCAAGGTTTGCTTTCGGCTGCGGATGCTGCAAGGTGTAATTGGTTAACACGCTGGACCTTGCAATGCTGAGGTCACCGGTTGAATGTCCCAGGGAGACAGTTGAAACAATGGGGCAAGTTTGCTCAATCTTCTCTACCTCTGTCCACGCAGCAATATCAATGGCTAACACCACAGTTAGCCAATGGGTAGGTCGTGTAAGGTGTGGGTACTCCCACTTATTCCAAGACACCTGCCCAGCACTAAAGAGTAGGCCAAACTACCCTCTAGCAGGGCTTTGTAGAGCTCCCTCGACTATAGGCCCTTCTGGCAGCGGTGACGCCATTCACTGCAGAGCTGCACCTTTTACCACCTTTCGTATCCATTCTACCTCTCGCTGTGGCTGAGGCTACGAGTCACGTGCCTACTCGAGCCTCACCGGTGACCTTGGAAACGTACGGTGATAAATAGAATGCTGTTTGAGCCGGGCGCAAGTGGTGCACACCTGCGACCCAGCGCTTAGAAGGCAACTCTCGGCGGATCTCGTAAATTTGTAAAACGCCTAAAGCTGCTGAGCCGTGTCGTAGCTAGGTCACGGCAATATGACGAGTGGGTTTGTGAACTCCATCTGTGTGTACTTTTGATCGTGTATCCCTTTGTATGCATGCCGGGTTGTTAGCCGAATGCTCTGATTTCCTTCCACGTGCCAATCCTTCATTAAATAAAACTGGATTGTCCAAACAGTTTAATAGAGGACTCTACTGAAATTTGAGACACAACAGAAGTTTTCGTAAATGTAATTATTATAATTATCAGTTGGCATGATAGTAATCAACACCTCTGTATCTACCATGCTGCGGATATCCCTAATGCCTTTCAGGCCTTTAAGCAGAACGAGCCATGTGTCAGTGAGTGAATCTTAACATTGCACAATTATTTTGTTAATTAACCAGTATTAACATAGCTCATGAGTTCAGGTGCCGGGTGCTGAGTTCTGATCTCCCAAGTGCCAGCTTGCATGCATGGACTGCACTGAGAGATGGAAAGAGGAACACGTGGATTATATAACATAGTGATTTAATTACATAATTTGTGAAGAAATGGCAGTGGGCATGGGAAGAAATGGTAGTGGGCACATCGGCTGATTCTACGAATTTTTTTTTGACCCGAACGCCCCACCCAACCCCACCCCCTCTAGTTCTGGCGTTTTGGCGAGTGGGTGGATGTGGTGGTGGACGATCGACTGCCCACTTTCAACAACCAACTGGTGTTTGTGCAGTCGGCCGAGCGGAATGAGTTCTGGAGCGCCCTGCTCGAGAAGGCCTATGCCAAGTGAGACTCATTGCTTTTGAATCCAGATCGAAAACTAATTTCTTTGGAACTTATTTTTGTGTTCAGTTTGTTGTCCTTCCCCGCACCTCCAATTAGCATGGTTGGCTACGTACAGTGTGAAATAAGTTATATATATATACATACATTGCTGCACATCCCTCCACCAGTCCTTGTTTTCCCAGGATCATCTCCTTGCAGTTCTGAGAAATCTGTAAGTCTTCCTGTGGCATTAAGCACCATTGTTTTGTGTTGTGTAATAAAACTCCACGAAATACAAAAACTATTTTCCACACTTCTGATATTGTAAGAAAATTTTCTTCCAATGACATGTCCCGGTTTTTTTCTATTTAAAAGGTGGCAACCTTATTTATTTACTACCTGGCCACAAACCCCTACCGCTCATTTGCATGGCCACTGGGAACCACGCTCTGACAGCCCAGGAATAATTCCGTTTTGACCTATGATCGGCACAGGGGCCTCGGCTCACGTCCCCATGTCCCTTGAGCCACAAGGATCCCTATCCTCAACTCCTCCTGGAATGCCACCTCGTGCCCTCCTAGCCCTCCGCAGCCAGAGGTGCGGTCAGGAAGCAGTAGGAGCATGGAACCTCATCACACAATAGAGGGCCACATAAAGACGGTCACTGCATCGCGTGCTTTTAGATGCGCTTCTGCGGCCGTCTGGAATGCTCTTCCGATAATAGGAAGCCACTGGAACTATGCACTTTCAAATCTAGATTGAAAACTAATTTCTTTGAAACTGATTTTTGTGTTTAGTTTGTTGTCCTTCACCCACACGTCCGACTAGCACAGTTGGCAACGTATGGTGTGAAAGAAGTTCAATAAATTATAAGGCCAATATCAAGTTCTTGTGGAAATTTGTCACGTGACTCATTGAACATGCAAGCAATGCAGCAGAGGCTCTCAAACACTGGTCCGCAAGAGGTATAACGATGCACTGATTCATCGGTTAATGTTGATTGTTAGGCTTTCGGCGTACGCATCGAATGGTGCGTGTAAGAATAATTTTATTTTTTATTTGTAGTATTTAATGGGTTCACATGACCTTTCAAGCTGCGAGCTACCACTGCATTCACCAGAACGTGTAATGTATATACACACAGATAAAGAATTGATTCTCGAAATAAAATGGCAACCCTAAATCGCTAGGGGTCATTGAATCACCAAGGGGTGAATTGTCACACGTCTATGGTCCTGTGACCTAGCAAGAAAATGTGATTGTGCAACACCTATTACTGATGCCTCTACGTCAATGCACGTGTTATTTACCATGCAAAATGATTTCGCTGTGTTGTGCTGAATGTCCCATTGTGTTTGCGGAAGGGGATCCACAAACACTCAGCCTCAAATGAGTACCTAGTGCGTTGTGTAAACATCGCCATGAGGGATACAAAGGCGGTCGGGCACGGTGCTGGCCACCCACCCACTCGTGTGCCGTGCCGGTCTTCAAAGGTGCTCGCTGACAGCACTTGCTCTTGCAGTCTGCTGAGGCTATTCGGGGGATCTTTGTCTGTGTGGAGGGCTCTTGCCTTTTTAAAAATACCGCAATTCAACAGCAATTGTTTAACAGGCCCAAACAGGTCCATAGTTTGCCTACTTGACTAAATAATGATCGACCATTTTGGTCCAGAAGTCTTAAAGGCTGATGGCTGTAGATAGTATTTCATTTTATTTTGTCTAGTTATTTCTGATTTAATAATTCTACAGTTAGCCAAGTAACCAGTGCACGTGTGACTCAACGTCGGAAGGTTACAGGTTCAAATCGCAATCTCGTGGTCGGCTCACCCTATCATGCCTCTGAAGTTGATCAAATGAGAGCCACTTTGTTTCAAGTCAGCAGTGGGAATCCAGTGGAGTTAACTGGTCCTCGTCATGGCATTGTGGAATTTTCACCGCTTATTCGGGGGCACCGATGGGTGATGGACACCACCCTCTGCTCGTGAAAGCAGAAACCACTTTGACTTTAACACTTTGACATTTGCAACATCTAATAATAGGGGTTTTCCCCTGTTTTCTGGCAACAAAACTGAAACCTTTTTACGAGGATTAATGTCTGCATTAACCACAATACCTTCAGTCAAAATGCAAACAAAAAACATACTATGATAATATATGCATTGTCCTTGAAACTGATTGGTCCACACCAAGGGATGGCTTTCTTTTGAGCCTCGACCCAATTGGTGCCCGACCAAATGACGCCAAAAGGCGTATATTATCATAGTATGTTTTTTTGTTTGCATTTTGACTGCAGGTATTGTGGTTAATGCAGACATGAATCCTGACACCTGCTGTATATTTGGGGTTTGCATGTTCCCCCTGCCATTATTGCCATCCCGCACCTCTGATTAGCTTGGTTCGCTATGTATGGTGCGAAAGAAGTTCAACATACATACATAGAGACTGTCCAGTTGCTGAAACTAACATTTGAAATAATAATGTTTTTTATTTATTTATCCAGGAAAGGCTTACTCAGTCTCAAGGTTTTTATTTTTAATGGGGATCCGGTGGTTCCCACTGCAGGATATTTGACCAATTCATTGCAAAGCAATGTTTTTTATGCATGTGCGAATACATACCAGAATGGGCAGAGAAAATCCACATGTGAGTAGATGACACTCAACTTCTACATCGATCGTTTTAACAACCCAAATGCCGTATGGCCATGTCACGGCCACCTCGCAACCCAATGGGTTTGAGAGGAGTACCACACATCTCGTTAAGGGACATAAACCATCACGTGATCTCCGGTCATGCTTGCAGCGGCTATTGGCTAGCCAGCGAACAAAGATGGTCACCGCATCGTGCGCTTTCAGATGCGCTTCTGCGGCCGTCTGGAATGCTCTTCCTTCCAATATAAATTGTATAAAATTATGAAGCCACTGGAGCTATGCACTTTTAAATCTAGATTTAAAACTTATTTCTTTACAACTGTTTATTGTGTTCAGTTTGTTGACATTCGGCTATGTACAGTGCGAAAGAAAGTTAAACATACAGTACATACATGTGCTTGATTCCACAAACCCTTGCCCTCATAAAGCGCTCGATTACATTGGCGCGCCACGGCAACTGGTCTGATTGCCTGTTGTCGCTGTCTGATCGCGGTGAATACAAACACAGGGTCCATGGCTCTTACGAGGCTCTGAAAGGAGGGAACACGACCGAGGCCATGGAGGACTTCACGGGCGGTGTGACGGAGTACTTTGAGATGAAAAATCCTCCGAAGGATCTCTATAAGATCATGGTGAAGGCAACGTCCCGCCGCTCACTCATGGGCTGCTCCATCGATGTAAGCGGAAAAGCACAATTACAGCAATATCAAAGGAAACTCTAAGACACCGAGCACGTTCACCATAGCTTCAATTGACGTGCGCCTACATTTAGGGGCTGTCGCTTGCAATTTTGAAAGCTTGATTGCCTCTTTTAGTCAACCCCCATGAGGTTCACATGTAATATGACGAATCAATATGCCATTTGGATGAGCAGTAATTACGAGAGTTGTGATCCCGCCCCTACTGAGACAGGCAGACAGACGGACAGAGCTAATCCATTCAAAAGTGATACTGGGGACCTGTCTAGGCACCTCTGTGATAATCAATTACATTTATAAAGCTGCTCTCTTTAAGGTACTCAAAGCAACACGTCCATAGTTGGCGGGGGAGGGGGGTGCTAATTTGGGGAATCTGGGCCGTTAGAAAACGTGCACCTGCTGCAGCTGCTGTGCCCGCGCTTGTGCCCAGGATGGGATGTGCTGGCGCTGCGGGGTCCCAGCTCCCGACAGCATCGGCCTCGTCCGCTCCAAGTGCGACAGCTGCTGCGACGAAGAGGACCACGAGCACGAGGGCGAGCACGAGGGCGAGCACGAGGGCGAGCACGAGGGCGAGCACGAGGGCGAGCAGGACCACTCGCACCTGCACCCCCCGACGCAGGCGAGCGGCGGCTCCCCGCTGGCGCGCGGCTTCCCACGCACCCCGTTCTCGGCGCTGCCGGACCCCTTCTCGCCGGGGCCTGGAGCGTCGTCGGCACAGGGAGGCGACATCAAGTTTGACTTCCCCGATGGAGGTGGAGGAGGACGCAACCTGACCAGGGACAGCAGCGTTAGCGGCCCCATCACGCCCAAGGTGACCGCCCGCGGTGGCGAGATATTAACTCCCGCGGCCGGTGTGCGGGTGGTCGTGGGTTTGATCCCGACCTTGACGCCTGTTGTATATTTGGAGTTTGCGTGCATTCCCCGTGGTCGAGTGGACTTTTCTCCGGGTCCTCTGGTTTTTCCCTCCACTTTTAGAAACGTGCGTTTAGAGTATTTGGCTGCTATAAATTTGCACATGATAAGCCACATGTTAGTTTGTCCTTCCCCCGCACCTCCGATTAGCACGGTTGGCTATGTATGGTGCGAAAGATGTTCAACACGCATATATACAACTAGCAGATGCCGAGGCAGCCGCCCCAGAACAGCTGCAGATGAGATTGTTTGCATGACTTAGGCCAAATAATCTCATCAGGTCTTTGATGTTGAGCAGGCCAGAGCCTGGCTAGTGCTTGTAAAACCAGGCCCACAGTGAGGCCCTCTTGTGTGCAAGGCCCATGAAAAATTGCCTCCTTCTACAGTCACATCATGATGAACCAGATGTGGTCAGAACATGCTCGGGTTTTAAAATACATTGATGTCTTTATTTAGGTTTGGCAGGTCATTAGATGAGGTTTTAGATGTGAATCAGCAGTTGGTCTATTTATATCAGCATATTTAAACTGCTGCACTGCCATGGACACTCATGGCTTCGATCGCAACAGTAAAAGAAAGGTAGCAGTCACGCAGTTGTTAGCGGGCTGCGTTATGCACCTGTCAACTTGAGGTGTTTTTCCTGTTCACGGCTAACATCAGTGGCGATATCTAAACCAGCATGTCCCCCCCCATACTTCGCCATACTTATCAGTTTGGTGAAGTATGGGAAAACATCCTCCATGACCAATACGCGGTGTTTACGCACGCACGTGTGTTGAGACCTTCATTCAGTCGTGGACTGACAAAGGTGTGCATTTAAATTTATTATTAACATTCAAAAGTCACAATTATGCTTGCACTTCCTTTTAATATAGTTCAACTAACACCAATAGGAATAGAGTGTCTTGTGTTTCACCAGGTAAGAACTCACGAGAACAGTGTAGAGGAGTCTCATTTGGAAGAGTGGCCTGGGGGCATTCGTCTGCCCATGGGTGGTGACGGTTGCTATGTATCATCCCAAATTGGTAATTTGCGGGTCATTTTTGAATTTGGCCAATTTGGACCCTGACGGAATATTCTATCATGTTAATATCAATGAAGACACCCTCGCCAGTGTGTGGATATCCATTCATGTGTTTGCTCGTGATAAAATCCTGCAGCCACTGCGTTGTGCTCACATGTTATCTTAATGGTGATCACGAGCGGCAATGTTGGTCCTGAAATATCATCACCAGCAGCAGAGGCTCACCTAGAGGGGGGCAAAAGGGGCGGATACCCCACGCCCCCCCCGAAAATGTTTATATGGCCATTGCGTGTCATAGGCTAATAAAAATAAATCAATGAAGTACACTTGTAAATATATAATCATGGTTGATGTATTATATTTTTGATATATTTTATATGATGCAACAAAAACGTAAGCTATATGAAATATGTTGTTTGCAGAGCGACTTGGTACTCTTGAAATGTTTAATCACCGTCACCCACTCAGCAATGCATCTCAATCCTGCACGTGAATACATCTCCTGATGTCCTAACTTAACAACGTTAAATTGCTGGATAGTTTATGAAAACAGTCTGTGAGTGTACACTCACAAAACTGTGGAGCAGGACACCTGGATTCTCCACGTGAGCACCGACACATGGCATACGATAACCAGCCGTAGAGATCTTTTAACTTTGTCCAAATTTTTGTCCCGCCCAAAGGTTTTTCAGACTTCGCACTCAACTCATGATGAGGACACAGGGCAGTGCTACCTGAGAAGTGGGCACAGTGGGCAGATGAGTAAGCCGGACCTCTAAAGAGTAGGCCAGGCCAATGTCAGACAGAAAAGGGCTGCCCGATTACCATACGTCCTGGTTGAAGCCTTCCAGAAGTACGGTAGCCTTACCGAAGAAGGAACACAACACGTGCTTCTAAACCTTTGTTCCCTCTACCATCTCAAATGTCTCCCCACAGATCGCCATGTTGACGCACGCAGAGTCGCGGACGCCCATGGGGCTCGTGCGAAACCACGCCTACTCCATCACGGGCTTGGACGAGGTCGACGTCCCTTCCCACCGCCGTCGCACGTTCACCGCCAGCCGAGAGCCCCTCCGCTCACGCTGCATTTACGCAGCCGCCAGGGGGCGAGGGTCATGGTGAAGTTCACAACCCCGGCGGTAGCCAGCTCGGGGCCATGCTCCCAAGGCAATCCTGCGACGCCGAACCCAACCTGAAATGGGCTAGAGGGAGAGGGTCCAGGAGCTCGTTTTTTTTTTTGCAAACCGAGTCACGTGCTTATGTGTCACCCCATTTGCCCGAAGCTGGCCTCAGAATCTGTTGTAATGTCACCGGGTCAATGTGGAGGCTGGCAGCGGGGTCAACGGCATCCTTCGCCTGGGTCATCTTACTCGCAGAAATAAAAGCGCATCAGCTCTGAAAAGCTTAACCTAACCTTGGCCTGCGTTTCCTGAGTCTCTCAGCCTGGCTGCAGAGGGTAGAGAAGGGAGGCAGGGGAGGATGGGGCATGGGGGAGGACGCGTGAGGGTCTGAGCTCCTGGAGCCCCAGGGCCTTTGAAGTATGGGGACTTGGATGTGGACTGTTCTGATGATCCTGGAATGCAAGTTGGTGGTCATGGAATTGTCGCATTTGCGGCTCAAAGCCTTGAGTGACAGTGTTGCAGGTTCTGTGTGTGCTGTTGTAGTGATGAAGGAGAGACACCAATGTAGAGCGATACCATTTAAAAGGAGGAACAATAAAGATCTAAAGTGCCATTAATGTCCACAGGTACATTTAGGTGTGTTCTCATCAACGGTCTCATTGGACCAGTGGGACTTTTATCGTTCTTGGTGAAGGAACGAGTTTTGTGTTTATCTAAATTACTCATTCATTGTAAACCTAACCCATGTTTGCCAGCACAGAGTCAACAACGATTTGACATTCTAGTACGAGGTGAATTTGCAACTACTTTGTGCCAGCCCGAACAGGTAGCCCACTGGAATCGCTTGCCCCAGCTGTCTGCACGCCAAATTCTGTCCTCTGCCTCTGATCTGTGTTCACGTGTGACGAATGTGTAGGTGAAGCATCGCAGCAAGATCGTGCAGCTGGTCCGACTGCGAAACCCATGGGGTCACGTGGAGTGGATCGGGCCGTGGAGCGACGCGTGCGTGACAGTGTCAATGTCTTTTCCACACTTTTCCGCTCGCTCTGATCCACCTTGACCCGACCGGTTGAGCGTCACCCGCCTCCACCCACCTCCACCCACCCTCTTCCTGTCACAATTCTCACCCCCGCCCTCCGCTCGCTGGCTGTGTACAATGGTTCGACAGCTTTTGCTGACTAGTGTAACAAAGAGAAACCAACTGATACACAATAGGTGGAAACGAGAAAGTATAATTAGGAATGAAGTTTGGGCGGATCAGAGGAGGGGCCGCAAATCCACAAACGCTATGCCAAGGCTTGAAAGGAGCAGCGGCTTGACTTTTGCGACCCTTGTATCGTCCGTGTTGTTATTCTGGAAAGGCTCTGCAGTTGCAGTGGGTGCTGCAGTCGTGTTTAAGGTCGCACTCATTACACACAAAGTGCTGGCTACAAATCAATCACAATACCCTGCTGATCTCGTCAAGGGGCATAATCCATCATGGGAACTCCGGTCATCATTTCAGAGGATTTTCGTTAGCCACCGAACAAAGACGGTCACTGCACCGTGCGCTCTCATATGTTTTTATGCGGCTGTCTGGAATGCTCTTCCTTCTAATATTAGGAAGCTACTGGAGCTATGCACTTTTAAACCTAGATTGAAAACTGATTTCGTTCGAACTGCTTTTTATGTTTAGTTTGTTGTCCTTCTCCCGGACCTCCGATGTGCATGTTTGGCTATGTACGGTGCAAAAGAGTTAAACGTACATGCACGCACACAAGCTACGAAGGCGTTTGCCGAATCTCCAAGCAGAGGCTGCACGCATTAAAACAAACCATACGGGGCTCTCTGTGGTGATTGATTTCCAGCCAGTTCCCTCCAGATCAGCGACCCGGAAAATATTTCCGTATCTGGCACACCACGTCCAGTATACCTCGTCACGTGCCTACGCGATTCTACAGTATATTGAGTAAGTCATTCAACGCTTTGCGCACATAAAGCTGATCTAATGATTCATTGATAAGCATTGATTTGCATACTCGCTACACATGTGTAGGGACGCAGATCGTAGACAGTAATACTTGGATGAACTTCGTTTATTTAACAAGCACCGCCGAGATAATACACAACACCCTGCGTGGGTGCACACTGTTACAATTAAGACCGTCTATTTTCTTGTTTCTTTCACCATCTCCTCGTTGTCGTCTCTGCCTTCACCATCCCGGGGTGCTGTAAGACGACCGCGGTCGTCCCGACAGTTCTGTTCCTTCACCTGAAGAAGGCTACTTGTGTTGTGGCCGAAACGTCGTGAAAATTTTATTGTTGTATTTTGTTTTATTGTTTTATTCTCATTCTACGTGACTTTACCGAAAGAACCAAGAAGATGAATCCTTGCAGTCACGAAAGCTTTAAATCGAAATAAGACGGTCTATTGTTAGAACAGTTGGCAGGCTGTCTGACTAACAGCACCCCGGGATGGTGAAGGCAGAGACGATGACGAGGAGATGGTGACGACAGTGATCTTGAGCGGCACGACGGGGATTCCACTTCCAGCAACAGCCCCGAGCTGCCGCTCAGGGCCCCCTCTTATACTCCCTGCGTGGCCTCGCTCCGCCCCTGCCACGCCCCGCCCCTGCCACGCCCCCTTCTGGAACCTACCAGCGGGTTCCCGGGGCTTCCCGATGGGCCCCTTCTGTGACCTTTCCCCTTTAGATGTCCCCCTCTCGTGTCTATCGTAGCCTGCTGACGTGGGTACTGCCCGACACCGCAGTTAACCTTTTCCACCAGCAGCCAACGCTATACCACTACACATGCATGATAATTTACTATTTACACAAATGTTACGCTCTTACATTTAGGCTCACGGAGGAAACAAACGTTTTCTAATCAGACTAAACAATAATCATTTGAACTTGTAATGCGCCGCACAGCACTCGCTCGTAGATAGAGAGAGAGTGACTCAGAGTCACGAGGAGGAACCACAGACAAGTTGGAAAGGGCAGCAACAGCCAGGCGGCGAGCCGGCACCAATAATTGTCCAAGCTTTGTGGTCCTCTCTATATATACACACATGTGCAGATGTGTCCAGCTAATTAACGAGTGTTTACATTGTGGGAGGAAACTGGAGTGCCCGAATTGGTACATGTCAACTCGGCATGTCATTATTCAGTTCAAGGATTGATTCTCGTGCATCGTACTGAATGGATCATCTCTCGTGCCTGTGAAGCTTTGACACGCAAGGGATACAAAAACGCAAAACATTCTTACAAAATGATTGAGCCTAATGTTCAATTTTTTATTGACGATTAAACGCATCGTTACACACCCATACTGCCACGTGTGCTAAGCAAAGAGCAAAACCACCTCAACACTGTGCACCCATTAGCCCCTCATTGAGACAGCAAAATAAACAGCAGACTAACAATTTGGACATTGGACCTCCTTCAGAGAATAACCGTCAGAGGCGGGGGGCGAAACGTTGTAATGCCAAACACGTCCCTCTGTTACTGGGCAGCGCCAATGATTATTTTGTCGGAGTGAGCTGTGTGAACGCTGGCATTTATTGGCCTGTTCTAAAGTTGTCTTTTTTTTTACCCCCCCCCCCCCCTTTACAGCTCCAAGGAGTGGAATGAAATCACGCCATCGGAGAAGCAGCGCCTTCAACTCATCAGCGCTGAGGACGGGGAGTTCTGGTGACCTATGCCCACTGCGGTCGCGTCAGCTGTTACAATTTCCGCCTTGCCGTTGTGTTCGGCATCGCCGTGACCCCCCGGTTTTCTCTCAGGCGTCACGGTGACCCCCCGGTTCTCTCTCAGGTGTCACAGTGACCCCCCGGTTCTCTCTCAGGCGTCGTGGTGACCCCCCGGTTCTCTCCCAGGCGTCACGGTGACCCCCCGATCCTCTCCCAGGCGTCACGGTGACCCCCCGGTTCTATCCCAGGCGTCGTGGTGACCCCCGGTTCTCTCTCAGGTGTCACGGTGACCCCCCGGTTCTCTCTCAGGCGTCGCGGTGACCCCCCGGTTCTCTCTCAGGTGTCACGGTGACCCCCGGTTCTCTCTCAGGCGTCGCGGTGACCCCCCGGTTCTCTCCCAGGCGTCGCGCGAGATGCAAAAGGGGCAGCCCCCGCAGGTTCGGCAGCCTGAATTGTCGAGTTAGCCTCGGGGACGCCACCTGGCCTGCAGTGGTGTCAGAAAAAGTAATACGTGGTTACAGTACCACATAAGGATGCTGTTGGTTAATATCAAGGGTGTTCGCCGTTGTGTTACATAACCGCTTACCTAATGAGGGGCGGTCGTGTAGCGGTTAGCACTGTGAACCCCGCCACCCGAGTTCGATTCCCGCTTACAGCCAATACCAGTGACGATTATCGGAACTGGTCCTGGGCCACCCCTAGGTTGACTCAGCCTCAGCTGAGTACTTGGTGCAGTGTGTGAACATCGCCACTGAGGAGACAAAGGCGGTCGGGCGTGGTGCTGGCCAACAACCCCCTCGTGTTGCTGTGCCGGCCTTCATAGGCGTTACTTGCTAACAGCACTTGCCCCAACAGTCTGTTACAAAAACACTCTGATGTCGTGTTTTCTGGCCGCTCCCGACAAAGCTCCCAACACGTGGAGCGAAATGTCAGACAGCATGCGGGAGAACATGCACATACCGTGCCTTTGCCAAGCATGGCAGAATCGTAGCACACTGCAGTTGTATAAGACAACTAAAGTTAAAATGTCCCCGAGTGACCTATTTAATTCAGTGTAAAACAACGGACCACTGCTAACCGGTGAAAATCATTCGAATTGGGAACGTTTTAAGCATGCTAATGTTAGGCAATAGAAAAAAAACATGGCATCTTACAAAACAACGACATGTAATTTGTTGCATTGTGAGACTGTGAGAGATGGAGACAGATTTTCATGATCCCTTACTTCAGCAGTGGAAAGATCAGGGCTGATAATGACGATGTTAAAAACAACTTAAGTGAACATTTCCCTTCGTGATATGTAACTCAATATACAAAAAATACTAAGATTAAAACTTTCATCACTCTCATATCTATACCGGTTGTAAATTTCAGGAAATATTTTCTGAATCTTATTTTGTAAATGTAAACAACAGAAATGTGATCCGTAGAAAATTATTTTTATATTTTTACCACTTGCAGACTGATGAACGTCAGTCATTTCAGAAATATGAAGTGGTTTTCTTGATCATTTCATACAAAAAACATACTTTTCTAATTTAAATGTAAGGTAAAAAAAAAACTCCGTGAAATGTATTTCACCTCAAAAATATTTTGGGATTTTTTGTGATAGCTGTTAAAGCTGTTGATACTTTTGGTAGGGGTTTAATATCAGGGGTGTAATGATGTATTTCATATTACTGTGTGTATACAATATCTATAAATTATGGATTAATGCGACCCCCTCCAGTCCCGAGGGGCCACTACATTTGTCACAAAGTTAAAAACAATATTAATGAATTATCGATTCAAACGATGAACCCAAAATCACGACAGTTTGCTGAATTGCAAGAGAGGGGAGGGAGGAAGTCATTAATCCCTTAGTTGTATACCACGTAAAAGTGCTCTTTTTTTTCAACAAATAACTGACCAACTCCATCACAAAATCACCTGGACCACGAGGCAATTGCCGGGTCGGAACTCGGCTCGTAAGCACCGGGCCTATCGTTGTGAGCGCAAACACAACCCGTCGACGATCTTCTCTCCCCGCTCAAGGATATCCTTCCAGGACTTCTGCCGCAACTTCACCAAGCTGGAGATCTGCAATCTGTCGCCGGACGCGCTCGCCGACGACCGCACCAACAAGTGGACGGTGTCGGTCAGCGAGGGCCGCTGGGTGCGTGGCTGCTCGGCGGGCGGCTGCCGGAACTACCCGGGTACCGCCAGCACCCTCGCTACCCTGTTTGCATCTCGCTCGTCTACCCGCTCCCCAGCCCTACCTGCTCCCCTGCCTACCTGCTCCTCCATCTACCCTCTCCGCTGTCTACCTGTCCCCTGTCTACCCGCTACCCTGTCTATCTGCTCCCCTGCCTACCCTCTCCTCCGCCTACCTGCTCCTTCGTCGACTCTGTCTCCTGACTGTCCTCTCTCCCAACTCCCCCAATTTCTCAGCAGCACCTCACAAACACACCAGCCCCCCACACACAAACGCCCAGTCTCTATGTAGGACAGCAGCTGTTGACAAGCCAGCTGGTGGTGAAATTAATCCACCCCGGAGGCAGAGGCTTTGCATGGTTGGCATTGGTCCTGTTGCAAGGAATGAAATGGGCACTCGCTATCTGCATTCCTCTCTCTTCTGAGCTCCGTGCTCGGACCCCCTCCAGCCCATGGGCCTCAGAGATGATGAGATGAATTAATCCTGTGCGGGATACGGTATCACAGAAATTAAAGTGTGCACCCATTCCTGTAATGCCACAACTGCTATTTAGATAAATAAACTTCAGGTGTGAAACAATTAACTCTCCCAGCGATTCGATGAATAGTCACAATTCAGGGCCGCGATTCGAATTCGGACTTGATTCTTTCTCATATAACGTTACCCTTTCTTTCGTATTTTCCATTTTTGTTTTCCTGTCTCGTTTCTATAGTTTCATTTCGCTCCATCTTTCCGAACGTGACCGGTCCCTTTCCCATCGTTGCCTACTCATGGAGACAAATCATGGCATGCTCAGTTGTGACACAAAGCAATCGGGGAACACTTGTGTGTTGTGATTTTGTTTTTCTTTCCCAATCCTCTTCCATTACACCGAGTGTATCTTGTCACGAGACTTCAGGATCGGTAGAGAAGTCTCCGAGAGCAGTGCAACTCCACCCGTAGTTTCTCCAAACTCTGGTCCACGCAGACTCCCACGGTGCTCCTTTCCAAGTTTCACAAATTACCGTTGGATTGCGAATAAAGTTGGCTACAAGCTGCACACTCCTGACGGTTGCGAAATAGTTCCCTCGTTACTTGGATAGAGCACCTGGTTTAAATTAACACCACGTGTGCTTGTGTGCGTGTAGAATGCACTTCGTAACAAGCACTCTGCAGTCACCTGGGGCTATTGTGTCGCAATAATGAGACACGTGCGGCTGCGTATAACGACTTGATTTGTATAGAATTGAAGCTTTCGTGACTGCATAAATTACTATGCTCATTGGTTTTTTCGGTAAAGTCACGTATGTAGAAAATTATATTAAAATTATTTTCTACATACGTGAATTTACCGAAAAAACCAATGAGTATAGTGACTTGATTTGTGTTTGAACGGAGGGTATTGGTGAACATTGTTGGTAAACATAGAAAGGCTTACCCTGGTGGGTCACGATGACTTTGAGAAGCCTTGCCATTCGAGAGTGGCCCGCAGCTTTTGAGATCGCTTCAAGTAACCTTTATAGTTTTATTTTATTATTTTATTCTCATAAATTATGACGTCACCCTGCTGCTCTATTTAAGACCGGGAGCAAGCGAGGGCTTTACCATTCTGGCGAATTGCTCGATGATGCTGGATGTAATTACCAGCGAAACGGCGTACTCAAACTGTAAATGTTGTGGATTCACTCTTCAACACACCGGTGGGCTAAAGTAGTGAATTATTTTTCTTTTGTCAACGTGACACTTTTTTTGCTGATTGGCCGTGTCGGGTGGTGGAGGGTTATGACACATTTATAAATAACGCGATCTAACCCAAAAACCTTTATTATGAAGAACAAAAGAAGATTTATCCACACACTTGAAGTTGCAATTTTCCAATGTGCACCACTGCAGATAACTATTTAATGTGTGGAATATTAAGTTAAGAGTAAAACTAACTTATTAGAATATATTTTGGTGTGTGCACTCTGTGGTGATCGGGCTGAGAGCATCAATCCACTACATTTGAGAACTACATTTATCCACGGGTGGCTAAAACCCAGACGAGGAACCTGGGATCTCAGCGATGCCCTCAACGACTTTGCCACTTCTTATATGACAGTAGGCATCAACGCCAGTAGTGAATTTGTGAGTTTGTGTGGGTCCTGTGTAAGTCTATGCGGGTCTGTGTGATCGATGTGTGTCCGAGGCTATGTGCAGCTGCGTGAGTCCGTGTGCATACACGTGTGACTGTGTACGCCCTACGTGAGTCCACGCGGCTCGAAATCTGACACGTGACCTGCTGCTGTGCTGGCCACGTGCTCGCGCAGATACCTTCTGGACGAACCCCCAGTATCGACTGCAGCTCTACGACGAAGACGATGACCCCGACGACAACGAGCTGCTGTGCTCCTTCATCGTCGCGCTCATGCAGAAGAACCGACGCAAGGAGCGCAGGCAGGGCAGCACCATGCTCACCATCGGATTCGCCATTTACGAGGTGCGTGCGTCGCCCAGGGAAGCCGCGGCGATCCGAGCGTTCGCTCACTCCGAGCAGCAGAGACAAATAAAAGTAGAAATTCCACCAGACACGGACCATCAGAAATAAGAGCATGACAAAGTGTAGAACGCTAATGTCTGTTGGTGAGAACGAAATAAATGGGCCTTACCCTTTCTGGCAATAAGGAGGTGTTTAAGATGTTCAAACACCCAATTGATGCTTATTGCAAGGCATCAAGTTTCAAAGACAATGCATATATAATTATCAGATCACGTTTGTATGTTTTGCCGCAAGTATGTGTGGTTAATGCAGATTTTCTGCCTTCCAAGAGGTATCTGTTTGGTGTTTGAACATCTTAACACCTCCTGTTTGATTGCCAGAAAGGGTCGAGCCTATTCTTGTTTCCACCCCCCCCCCCCCCCCATCATTTTCATACTGGCACAATAAGGTCCCGTAGATATTACTGTCTGTGTTAGCGCGCAAAACACAGATATGCACGAGGGAAAATGCTATCCAGAAGGGACACTTTGGGGGATTTCTGTAAGCGCGAATTTGAATTACCAAAGCGTGCCCGTGCCCGCAGGCCGCACGTTTTATCCAGACCCTGCACCACGGGCTCACTCAGTGCCCAGTGTACAGACTGCTAGGCTACACGCTGAACTGTTGCTTGCAATCTACAACGCTCGTTGCGAATCCCTGCAACCTAAAGGTAAAGGTGCAGCGCTGAAATTACCTGCTCTTGGCACTCCTGCTAGAAGGGCCTCCACTTCTGTAGAACCCCTTTAGATGGTATTTGGCCTACTCTTCCATGTTTGTTAATGGTATTATTTGAATAAAGACAGGTAAAACAAATCAAACATTGGTAATCTAGGTGTAGAAAGACATTGCGCAAACGCTCTTTAGCAATCTCTGCTGAACTCGTAAATCCAACGCTGTCTTGGCTCTATGCCGCAGGCTTACAGCCCTTTCGTCAGTCTACTGCTGGATGAGGGCCTCCCCACGCCGTGTGGGTTGTGGTGGTTACATGACCATACTTCACCATCCTGGTTAGTGCGGGTTGGTGAAGGTGAGGAGCATGCATCTGGGAGATTAGCATCGTTGGCTACGTACGGTGCAAAAGACGTTCAACATGCATACAATATAAGTACCGTACCACAATGCATCTTGCTGCACTGGCCTCTGCAGCCCACCGTACGGACCGTACGATGACCTGTTTGTACATGGAGGTCAGCCTTCCAAGCTCTGTCCAGGCTCAGAAACCCTTCTTCGCTTTCTGAGATCTGATAAGACCGGGCACATTCTGGATAATGTTTATGATTGTTTATTTATACGTGTACTGGATCTACACAGCTGATGCACACAGGCCCAAAGGCCCACAATGTAAAGAGGCCAGCAAGCAAGGATCTGATGCTTTAACTTTGATACAATCCCGAGAACTGAACGTAAGTCACACGGATCCTGTTTGACGCCATAACCCTAATGCAACGCAGAACAGGTTTAGAGGTTCATTCACTGCCTCTCCGTTAAACCGCCATGTCTAGCAAGCCTTGTGGTGCCTTTATAGCAAAATCATTAACGAGGAATGTTCTGCTTTCATTCCATCAAAGGCCGCAATGTTTGAACGTAGAAACATCTTGCCCTCGTTGAAATCTCCACATAAACCATGCTCCCTTTTCATTTGTGCACACACTTAGTTGAGCGATTGTGGCATTTTAAAGGCACATCCTGGGGGTTTATAGTCAACCTCAGAGTGCACAGGCCAACTTTATTTTAACCCAAAATCCTGGTTGGCTTTAGCTGCGCCAAAATAAAAGTATCCTCGTGGCATTTCTGAAAATCTCACTTTTATTGATCAACAGATTGAGGCCTTAGAATACATTCCCTGGCTTCACAAGACCAACGTTCAATCCGCAATACCTTGCTGATCTCACCAAGGGGCATAAACCGTCATGCGGACTCTGGTCATCCTCGCAGCGACTTTTGGCTAACCATCGAACAAACTCGGTCACTGCATCGCGCACTTTCAGATGCGCTTCTGCAGCCATCTGGAACGCTCTTCCTTCCAATTTTAGGAAGCCACTGGAGCTATGCACTTTTAAATCTAGATTGAAAACGAATTTATTTTGAACTCCTTTTTGTGTTTACTTTGTTGTCCTTCCCCTGCATGTCCGATTAGCACAGTTGGCTATGCATGGCGCGAAAGAAGTTCAACATACATACAATCCACGTATTCTGGAAATTCGGCACCATCGCAACAACATTGCTTAGGGTGTACCAATTCACTTTCCCCACCTCCTTGTGATTTCATCAATGGTTGTGATTCCATTCAAGAATCGATTCTTTTTTTTGTTACAGTGTGGAGGATGTAACGGCTTCTATTGGCTGGATGGGTCATGTGAACCCGTTGCATAAAACATACACAAATCGGAACTCACCGATTCTCACACATAGGGTCCGATGCTTGCATTTCGTTACTCACCATAGATCTAACCCCAAATAAGCACAACCCCAAGGGACTTAATTTTTAATCCACATGAAATATTAACGTTGGTGTTTTGCCAGCAAAAGCAAACAAGCAACAGTGCAAGGGACAGTCAAAACGATTGAGAATGAGATCTTCTAAATAATGTTCACTGCAAGCTAAAATTCCTCTCCAGCTAAACACCCATCGCTTGCAAGGAAATTATTTTTGAAAGTCTAACAAAACTAACACGAGGCTTATTTTGAATACGTATGTTTGTGTTGTATGAACAAACTACGTGCATTGGTGTTTTAAGCGATTATATAGATAAATAAACACATGGAAATGTGTTGCATGGAAAGTGTTTTAGCATTCACTCCAGTCGGTAGATACCCTCGCCAACCAGAATGAAAAGGTAAAGTAAGTGGGGTTTGGGCAGAACCACGTCGCTAGGAGTGATGGTAGCCAATGGTCAAGGATAATTACGGAGTGGCAGCCACAGGATTGAACGTGCCCAAGATCACGTCGACCGAGGAGACTGAGCGATGAAAGCAGTTCGTGTGCAGGTGCTGGCTGGATTACCATACAGGTGCTGGCTGGATTACCATACAGGTGCTGGCTGGATTACCATACAGGGTCATCAGGGATAGCAGCGGCTTGCGGAGGCCTTCATCCACAAATGGATTGACCATGGCCAGTGACGGTGATAAAGTAAAAAAAAAACGAATTTAGCGATGCATTTTTTTTATGCAGTAATTGGTGATTGGCCTGAAACCATCAACTTGGTACACTTGAGAACGCATTTTAACGATGGGTGCACGACACCCCATTTGCTGTCCCTCGTGACCACAGAACGAAAGTGCCCTCTCGTACCATCTCCCAGGTGACCGAGGAGCTGCGTGGCAGCCGGGAGCACCTGCCCAAGGACTTCTTCCTGTACAACGCGTCGCGCGCGCGTTGCAACTCCTACATCAACCTGCGCGAGGTGACGGAGCGGTTCCGTCTGCCGCCCGGCGAGTACGTCATCGTGCCGTCCACCTTCGAGGCGCACCAGGAGGGAGAGTTCCTGCTGCGCGTCTTCGCCGAGAAGCACAACGTGTCGGAGTGAGAGGCCCCGTGCGCCACACTCACACACATAGACGATGAACAGCCTTTAACAGACTGTTGGGGCAGGAACACAACCACAGTAATTTAGAGTAATGTCTGATCTACTGCTTCATCTTAGTCTCAGTTTAAAATAATAAGAATAAGTATTATTATTGACAGCTGGATGAAGGGCCTCCCCATGTCTTATCGGTCATGGGGTGTCCTTTGACCATACTTCATCACGCTGGTCAGTGTTTAGATGTCTCTCACTACTCAGGTCAGCTACGTCAAGGAATCGAGATCATATCAGGTTATTCACTTTGACATTGCAGTGTGCTGACCACTGCACTTACCACTTAACCCCCAGTCTCTGTTTCCAGCACCTAAATCGAAGGCACAATGTGCCTTACCTGAACTAAATTGAGTACCTGGTGCGGTTGACACACCGCAGCAGGTACTCATTTAAGGCTGAGTCGACCTCGGAGAGGCCCAGGACCGGTCCAGATATTCATCACTGACGTTGGCCGTAAATGGCAAATCGAACTCGCGTCGCTGGGTCTGTAGCGCAGTTCGCTAACCACTGCGCTGCCGCTCCCCGCTATGGGAACACGCGCGCGCGTGCACCCACGTGCGCGTGCACCCACGTGCGCGTGCACCCACGTGCGCGTGCACCCACGTGCGCGTGCACCCACGTGCGCGTGCACCCACGTGCGCGTGCACCCACGTGCGCGTGCACCCACGTGCGCGTGCACCCACGTGCGCGTGCACCCACGTGCGCGTGCACCCACGTGCGCGTGCACCCACGTGCGCGTGCACCCACGTGCGCGTGCACCCACGTGCGCGTGCACCCACGTGCGCGTGCACCCACGTGCGCGTGCACCCACGTGCGCGTGCACCCACGTGCGCGTGCACCCACGTGCGCACGAGATTGGCCGCGCGCACGCAGGCAGGCAGGGGGTTCTCCTTCAGGCGCCCCGCAGCTACGAGCCCAACGCTCGTGTCTCCTCTTGCCCGCGTGCGAGAGAACCTATTACGAGGCTAATTCCGCCGTATCTTAAAAATAAACGCAGCACTTAATCGCATAAACAGCTGCACAGGGGAGTAAACAAAGTTATATTAAAAATAGCTCCAACTATGTTAACAAGGCACCTAATTACCATTTTACCGTTATTAAGTGCGTGTTTTTGTTTAGTGTGCGCGCTCAAACGAGCGTTGCCTTCTCGATGCAACATTACCAGGCTCCCTTTACTCAGAAAAGAAGACTTTAGCAGCAGCAGCGTGCGTGTAAATATTTAATGCTCGTAGGATATGCATCTACACAATGCAATGAGGATGTGCGCAGCATCAAGCTGCGCCCACATTTCAAGACGCTGTACAGACACAGTTAAATTTTACAATAATAATAGATTAATGATAATAATATTGTTGGGTGTGTTAACCAGAGAGAGAGAGAGGAACGGTCACATGTAGAGGGAAATGAGGCGTATCATTAGATAACAGTTCGCATGTCCGTGATGAAACAAACCAATTCACGAACGTACACATCGATGATGAAAACGAGTCTCGTGACTAATTTTTCAAAAATAAATATGTGTTTTCAGGCTGATGAATGAAACAAGTCTGTAATTTTCACGAATAAATAATTTTCTCAAAGTTACATATTTACATGTCATGTGTGTGTTTGTTGTTATTTTTGTTAAATCAGTCTCTTACAAAGTTCTCATTTGTTCATCCCCTTCCACACTCCCCCCCCCCCCCCTTCTCTTACCCCCCCTGTCAGGGAAATGGACGACATCATTGGCGTGGTTGGTGTAAGTGTGGATGTTGTGCAGAGCAATTCTCATTCTAATCTCAACCTTCCCTATTCCACTTGGCTAACTTCCCACCGACCGCCCCCCGTTGTGTTGACCGCACCTGTACCCCCCACTGCCCCCCCCCCCCCCACGTTGTCCCGCCACCCCGTTCACGGACCGATGCCGTGTGTTGTTGCGACTTAAAACACGCGCACGCAGGGCAAGAAGAAGAAGAAGAGCAAGAAGAAGAAAAATAAGGTACTGGCTTAGGCAGGAGCGGAGCGAGACGCACACCAAGTGGGGAACGAGCCCTGGCAACGACACGGCGACGCATTTGCCTGGCTTCTCACACACGCCCCCACCTCCCCTTCGTTGTTTTCACGGCTCTGCCCGTGCCATATTGCTGATGGTCCTTCATCAAATTTTGCCGACTTTTCCGTTCATAAACGTGAACCGCGAGTGCTGCGAAGAAAACACGGGCATGCCAGCGATGTCCTCCCGTGCTAAAACAATGTTAAAATAAAGCCCCCGCCCCGTGTTTGCATTGCAAGCTTGGCGTTCCCTCTGTTGCTTGCATGGCATGGCACGATATATTTATTTATTTCCCTGCTTTATATTCATATAAACTAACGTGTTTTTCATTCTTCTGCTGAAGACCTTTGGGAATACGAAATATTGTCTTTTGTGTTTGCCTAATTAACCACCTGGCCTGCTGTGTGCAATGAAATCAATTAATTTTCGTTCTCATGAAAAGCCAGGACCATTGCTGATAAAGTCATCCGTCGAGCTCGTTTGCTTTCAATCTCTTGGGATCTCAAAATTGCATGGCAATAATGGGGTATTTTATTAAAATTCATTAAAGCAACATGCTGTGTGCTTTGATCTCATATCAGGTCCCCCCCCCCCTTTCTAATAGCAGTTTCTGGAATCTTCCGCACCCCAGAGAGACGCTTATCGGCTTTTAACACATGTCTCTGTACAAAAGAACCTCGATTATCAGGCAAAAGTACTCATTGTTACATCATCAGAGTAATAATATAAATGATAAAGGGGTGGATAACAGCTTCGCGATTCGAATGCTAACCACTGAATCCGGCAGTAATTCCATGGAGAATGTCCCAAAGTACTGCAAAGTTCATATACAAGACATTGTCCTGAATCATAGCCCATATTCACATTTGTTTAAATCGCCTTGACTACATTTTCCATTTCAAATTTAAATGCCATTTATATGGAATATTGTTACGAAGGTATAATAAATAATGCCTCCCAATTGGATGCAAATAAATTCCAATTTTCAGATTATAATGTTTATCTCAAATTTATCACCATTAATAGTATAACGCCTCTTATGAAATGTTGATCCGACTAACTGCAATGTTATCTGCGCATTTACTCCACTTATCCACGAACAAATGCGCAGCGAAACCACAGAAACCATGATTAATGTCTCGTGCCACTCCAATGATTTATTTCTTTTGAAATGCACGCAATAAATAGAAATCCATTCCGCAGTGCAGGATGGGAAATGCCCCAGATAATTGTGGATAATCTGTGTCCACAGATGTTCACAGATGTCTACATCTGTGTCCACAGATGTCTACTGTCCATAGATGTCTACATCTCTTGTCTACATTTATCCTGGAGGAGGATTTCGATGAGCTACGAAGCTCTTGTCCACAGATGTAGACATCTGAAACTGGATGCATATAATAGTATTTTAGAATACCCTACTGCTCCCGTAGATTATACAGTCATGGATAATAGGAGTTCTCCTGTCATCTATAAATGCAATGTGGTGTTACTTTTTAAAATAAAACAAAAACCCTGACCCTTTGTTTCTCAGTCTGGGTTCGATAATCAAGGTTTATTTTTGTACGCTATTTCTGAACCTTTCTCTTTCACTGAAAAAATGTTATCCTGTTCCCTTTCTTTTCATATCGCCACCCATCATAGCCAATCGTCTTTATCTCGGACAGAACTAAGAAAGGGCAGCAACAGCCGGAATCTCCTGACGAGAGCGAGCCAGAAGATGGAAACGAGGAGGTTTAGTGCCTTTTAGTGATGAATCGTCTGCACGCAGAAATGGCCTCGTCTCGCCACGGTTTTATGAGACTGCGTTTTGCCCGTGTGTGGGAGGAAGTGTGTGTGTCGTCCTTGATCGTCACGATGCTATGCCGTGCTTCAACGATGAGCGAATGCGCAGTGTTTAATATTGATGCCAACTGACGATGCCGGGTAATGCATCTAAAAGGGCCACATTATGCCGTGTTATATCTGGTGTAGATTTGTTTCTCTCTCTCTCCCAAACAAGATATACAAATCGCATTACGTTGAGAACTATCATTCATTAATACATTTCACCAGGCACTTTGAAATTCGTAAAATTAGAGTAACACTACACTCTACAGTGTACCAATATAAAAAAGGTATTTAATACATCGTTTATTTAATTTACAAATGGTATACAGGGAGGGAAAAAGTATTTGATCCCCTACTGATTTTGTACGTTTGCCCACTGACAAAAAAATTATCAGTCTATAATTTTAATGGTAGCTTTATTTGAACAGTGAGAGACAGAATAACAACAACAAAATCCAGAAAAACGCATGTCAAAAATGTTATAAATTGATTTGCATTTTGATGAGGGAAATAAGTATTTGACCCCCTCTCAATCAGAACGATTTTTGGCTCCCAGGTGTATTTTATACAGGTAACGAACTGAGATGAGCACATTCTTAAAGGGAGTGCTCCTTATCTCAGCTTGTTACCTGTATAAAAGACACGTGTCCACAGAAGCAATCAATCAATCAGATTCCAAACTCTCCACCATGGCCAAGACCAAAGAACTCTCCAAGGATGTCAGGGACAAGATTGTAAACCTACACAAGGCTGGAATGGGCTACAAGACCATTGCCAAGCAGCTTGGTAAGAAGGTGACAACAGTTTGTGCGATTATTCGCAAATGGAAGAAACACAAAAGAACTGTCAATCTAAAGTATTAAAGCTTTCGTGACTGCATAAAATTACTCATTTTATTGTATTTCTACATACGTGACTTTACCGAAAAAACCAATAAGTAACTGTCAATCTCCCTCGCCCTGGGGCTCCATGCAAGATCTCACCTCGTGGAGTTGCAATGATCATGAAAACGGTGAGGAATCAGCCCAGAACTACACGGGAGGATCTTGTCAATGATTTCAAGGCAGCTGGGACCATAGTCACCAAGAAAACAATTGGTAACACACTACGCCGTGAAGGACTGAAATCCTGCAGTACCCACAAGGTCCCCCTGCTCAAGAAAGCAGATATACATGCCCGTCTGAAGTTTGCCAATGAACATCTGAATGATTCAGAGAACAACTGGGTTATAGTGTTGTGGTCAGATGAGACCAAAATGGAGCTCTTTGGCATCAACTCAACTCGCCGTGTTTGGAGGAGGAATGCTGCCTATGACCCCAAGAATACCATCCCCACCGTCAAACATGGAGGTGGAAACATTATGCTTTGGGGGTGTTTTTCTGCTAAGGGGACAGGACAACTTTACCGCATCAAAGGGACGATGGACGGGGCCATGTACCGTCAAATCTTGGGTGAAAACCTCCTTCCCTCAGCCAGGGCATTGAAAATGGGTCGTGGATGGGTATTCCAGCATGACAATGACCCAAAACACACGGCCAAGGCAACAAAGGAGTGGCTCAAGAAGATCCACATTAAGGTCCTGGAGTGGCCTAGCCAGTCTCTAGACCTTAATCCCATAGACAATCTGTGGAGAGAGCTGAAGGTTCGAGTTGCCAAACGTCAGCCTCGAAACCTTAATGACTTGGAGAAGATCTGCAAAGAGAAGTGGGACAAAATCCCTCCTGAGATGTGTGCAAACCTGGTGGCCAACTACAAGAATCGTCTGACCTCTGTGATTGCCAACAAGGGTTTTGCCAGCAAGTACTAAGTCATGTTTTGCAGAGGGGTCAAATACTTATTTCCCTCATTAAAATGCAAATCAATTTATAACATTTTTGACATGCGTTTTTCTGGATTTTGTTGTTATTCTCTCTCACTGCTCAAATAAACCTACCATTAAAATTCTAGACTGATCATTTTTTTGTCAGTGGGCAAACGTACAAAATCAGCAGGGGATCAAATACTTTTTTCCCTCACTGTACCTTGCTCAGTAAATGAAGTTTAAGCTTGCCGAAATTAGTTGATCGTTGAAGCACTGCAGTTTCAACAGTGATCACGTGGAGCCGTCATATCAGCACTGTGCATGGAACTTGAACCTAAACCTGACCTTTACGATGACGTTTCTGTTAGTTTGACCCTGTGTTTTTAAGCGGTCGCCGGCTTGCAGGGCTGAGCGATGCATCAGTGCTACAGACAGTACCGTCGACTATTCGTGCGCTGGCAGGCACATCGTGTGCACAGCGATACAGGCGGGGGGACTGCGCTGTTCAAGACGCGCCTGCGGCAGAGACGGTGCAGCAAACCTCGTTTAAATCAAAATCAACATTCTTCATGTCACGTGACGCACAAGTCACGTGACACTTAATTGGCTGTCAGGTACTCGTATATATAAAAAAATATATGTACCTCGTTAAAACCGAGCTTACGATTTGCTCATTGCTGCAATTAGCCTCGTGTAAATTCCGCCACTTTAACGGATAATCTCCATCTATTGCTCTGATTTTACAGAAAGTGAACCTAAAGTATATTTTATCACCCCGGCTTTGACCGACCGAGCCGCTGCTTCATAGTGTTGGCATTCGGTGGTTGCATTGTTGGGAGGACAGGGCGGGTCTTTAGTACTCAACCAGGGTTGCCACAATGCCACCTATCCTGATTTTTCCAGGATCGTCCTCTATTTGAGATAGCTGTCTTGCGACCTCTTCAAGTATTCCCAGGACATTAAAATTCTGGCTTTTTTTTGGCAAAATACCACTCACGGCAATGCATTTGCATATAGTTCTCACCTCTTGCGGTATTGCGACATAATCTTCCTCTCCTCGCGATATGTCCCGGCTTTTTTACGAGTTGGCAACCTGATCACTCAACATTGGGGTGAACCAGTATTTGGGTGTCAGTCGCTCAGCCCTTGCAGTTGGGAGACGTGCACTGCGTTTGAAGTACCTCTGCAGAATGCCAAGGAGTTACGTACAAATGCATCCACACATCATGAATGGATCTGTCTGAACCCTGAGCATGAGAAGTAATTTAAGTGTGCGTTGGAACACCGTAGTGGATTCTCACTGATTTGGCCAATACATATTTAAAGCTACAGTGGATGCGGAAATATGTAAAATATTAAATAGCATTGTTACATCTTGATTTAAAGCTTTCGTGACTGCAGGAATTCATACTCTTGGGTCTTTCGATAAAGTCACGTAAATAAAACGATTATAGATCACGACGTTTCAATTGGACGACTGCTTGTGTTGCGATCGAAACGTCTTGATCTATTATTTTTTATTTACGTGACTTTACCGAAAGACCCAATAGCATTATTACAATCAAAAGGGGGGGGGGGGCGGAGAGACGTGGTGCAGCGGTTGCTGGCACAGTGTGCTATGAGAACCCGGTAACCCGAGTTATTAGAATCTCAGCCACGGCTCACATCAGTGACAAGTGATATATCCAAATGAATCCTGAGCTTCCCCGTTAACCAACGCGCGCTGACCGGCGCGCTGACATTTAATTAACCCAGCAGTGGACAAAGAATGGACAAGCGACGTTATGATGGTTGTTACTAAAATCGCAGCGAAAGCATGCGCATGCTCATGTTTCGAATTACAGCTGCGCACAGTGTAAATGTTGCCACCCAGTCCCTATTGTGGGGTGAAGATGCACGTAGACTTCACACGTGTGTCCCGCTGATAGATTTTCTGACAGAACCCTGTCCAATTAGTCCAAATCAATGGGAATCCGCTGGGGTTTAATTGCCCGTAAATTGTGTGCTATTTGTGTCCGTGTTGTGCTGACTGTGAACATTGCAGTGGTGTATTCGTAGTGTATTCACACAGCAGGGCACATTGATGAGAACAACCTTTATCTTTTTGCATCAAAAAAACGGTTTGCCCACCTCAAATTGGTTTAAGCGCTGGAAAGAAGGCTCAGCGAGTGTGATTCGTGATTGTAAACTGATCTTCCTTTGCACATGTCGGTTAAGATGCAGCATCAAATCTATTTTTTTCATGGCGCCATTTGTGCTGCGTTGAGGTGGGAAGAATTGGTAGCCCCACACTGACAGTGAGCATGGCTGGTCTCGTATGAATACACCACTGCACGCACGCCGGGATGTGAGGAAACGTTTTTAAGGTGAATGCACGAGCAATTACAATTACAAGGTCAGTGGCATTGCTATTCCGACTTCTGAGCTGGGTGGTTTGCTGAATGGCAGACTTTCAGTGATGGGGCTGGCTTAATCGTGTACGTGTGTTTGTGTGCGATAATTGCTGGGTGAGGAACCATTATCTTTTTGTGGTGTTCTGTCTGTCACTCTGTGTGTTTGTGTGTCCGTGTGTGCAAATGTGTGTGTCTATCTCTCTATCTCTCTTTCTCAAATCTCTTGATTTTGTATGCAGTCAAATAAGTTGGCTGAACCTGAAAATCCAAAGGAACCAGACCTGACCCCAGAGGATAAGCAGTTCAAGACAATCTTCAAGCAGCTGGCCGGAGACGTACGTTTACAGGAAAACGAGTTACAGCAATTCTGGGTTATTTTGTGGTTTAACTTGGCAAAACACTACGGCTCTTTCTGTTGGGTATACACACAAACTAGGAATTAAACCACGGCATTCTTTATGAATTGCCAAGGTTTAGGTTCGATTGGTGAAAAAATGTATTGCTTATGCTCCGGACAAAAGACCAAATCACCTCATAATCACTAGATTCCATCAGATCTTGTCGCATCTGCAATCTAAGCAGTGTTGAGTCTGGAAGGCACATATATGCTCCTCACATTTAACAACCCACACTAACTGGCGTGGTGAAGTCCGGTAGGGCGGCCCTCATCCAGCAGTGCAGTCATGAGGGGCTGTACATGCATGTTTTAATAGAGCCTGCAATTGATCATGCAAGGTGATTGATTAAGGTTATGACCAATGGCTTTTGTAAAACTTCATCCCGTAAACTAAAAGGCCCTGAAAGCACGTAACAAATCTAATCATATCGATGTGCGGATGTAAAGCTGATGTCCAAAGTGCACTTCTTCATGTGCTATGTACCTATGACAGCAATTTAATTTTTGATGATGTTTGTTTATTCATTGGCATGTATTATAGATACATGATCTAGAATAGAGGAGCTCGGCGTGGTTAGTAGATCACTTAAGTTTGTTAAAATTCCGAACCCGCTGGACTGAGGTGGCCAGCAGATAGCATAACAGATAGCGGTACGGGTTTTAAAACCATTTGTCGGGACCTTTGAATGTTACGTCCAAATACGTGTGGGTTTTCCCTGTATTAGACAGACGACTGGCAGGTTGCATGCGCTGAGGCAAAGTGTGAGTAACCCAACCTCTTCCAAGATGTCTGGCCAGCTTAGAAGAAGAGGTAAAATGCCCTCGAGAAGGGCTCTCTAGTGGAGATCCTTCTGACAGCAGTGGTGCAATGAAGCAATTGCAGGGCTGCACATTTGCCTTTCACCTTTTCTCTGGGTACAGTACTCTGGTTTGAGCAGACATGCAAAGTACTCATTGAAAAAATAATTGGCTGAATATTCTGATGCAAGACACTTCTGCAAAATAATCTTAAGACTCAGTAAGGCTTTGCTGTATGATCAAATTATTGTTTTGTTAATTCAAATTAAACAACTTCTTAAACCGATTTAAAATGTGTTCAAATATACAATGTATTGTATGTTGGGATGGAAATTGAGAATGTGGTGTTCGCCGATCTTACGTTTATCGTTTGTTTTGCCTCAGTGGGGGTGCTGCTGATGTTTTCTGTCTCCTCAGGACATGGAGGTCGGTGCTGCCGACTTACATAACATTCTCAACAAAGTCATAACCAAACGTACGTTGGCAGAAAAAACATAACCCCCCACCTCCCACCCTCGCCCCACAAGATGTGTGGTCAGAATGGAAAATGTGGCTCCCACCTACTCTCTAAACGGCTATTGATCAGCAACCTAAAAAAGCATAGGTATGCTAAGCAATTTTCATGATCGATGGCGCATGATCCAACCTTACTGAATCGAACATGCAGTCTCACTATTGTTTTCGTAATGCTGCCTCAGTCGAAAGCTCAGATGTCGACCTTGGTGTAGACTTTTGTGGTGAGATGACAATGTGAAATGTATAATAAACTACTTTATAAAATTATATCCGAATAATCTATGGCCCTTTGCCCAATACACTGCTGGATGAAGGCCTCCCCCACACTGTCGATTGTAGCTGTAGCTTGACCATACTTCACCACGCTGATCACAGCGAGTTGGTGAAGGGGGTACCCAGGACTGTTTCAGATATCGAGCGACACTGACGTTGACCGTGGCCGACAATTGAACCCGGGTCACCGGGTTCATGGCACATTTTGTTAGCCACTGCTAAATCCCAAATGTCTTCAGGGCAGAGCAATGTCACTGCTCCACCCCAATTAACCAGATTACAATTCGCAATTTTGGTCAAGTCTTGCCAATTTTATATTTAATTACTCTGTGGCACCTTTCTGGAATAATTTTGCCATCCAAGATGGCAATTTTGCCTATAATTCTTGAGAAAAGCCACATGCAAACAGAATGTGGGGGTACTGTGATATGTGCAGTCCAAAGCTACATGCTCATACAACTGCAATATTCTAAAAGTCATCTCTAAATTCTACCTCAAAAGTATTGCTTAAAAATATGGGGACAAAAAATTGCATGATTGAAAATTTTCCGATAATGCAACCTCACATTGACTAAACATCTTTAAAACGTAGATTACATCGGTCAATACAGTGAAAATGTGTGTACATTTCCATGTGTCACTTCAAACACAGGCACAGTGCATGTGTGTTCAGCAATAAAAAATACCCATGTTAGTTGGCAAAAAAGGGAATAAATTAGAATTTGCAATATACACATGAAGTATACACACTTTGGGGTGATTACATATTGCAGCATATTCTGCATATGCAAAAAGCCTAATCACTCAGTGAAGGCTCATATAATCCAATCACATGTTGCCAACAGGCGTTTTGACACAGATGTTCGGTCCTTATGGGGCTTATTAGTATGGCGGACAGTTTACTTCTGCTCAGATCGGTCTCATATACTCACTAACTGAGGGTGAGAGGACGAATGATGAAAAGTATCCTCCCAACATAAAGTGTACATGTTCTCAGTGATATATATATAAATGAGGGTGTTTTAATAAGTAAAAAGAGAGATGTTATTTTCAGAGAAAATCTATGCAAGACTGCTTCGCCACATATTCACGCGACTACTACTACGTTACATTCATATTCCATACATTTACCCAAGAAAAGCTTAACCTGAGTCTCAACCTCCTTTCGGAAGCGTCCTGATAAGTTTCAGGCTTAGGAGAGAATGTTGCCTGTGTATTTTCCCAAATGATTATATTTTAAGTTAAAATTTCAAGTACATTTTTGCCTAGCCAGGTGAAAGCACAAGAGACCAAAGCCACTCTCATTTTCGAGAGTGACCAGACCTGGCGTTTTAGTCCGCCAGTAGGGGGCAATGGTTGCTATGTACAATCCCAATTGAGTAATAATGTGGGTCAATTTTTTTAATTGGCCAATTTGGACCCTGATGCTGGCCCACATCAGGGGATATATATATAGCAGATGAGTACCAGGGTCATGCCCCAATCGCTACCTAATTTTCGTCACCAAAAATAGTACCGACAAAGGCAGAAAATTGCTATAAAAATAGAAAAAGCTAGAGGGCATATTCCTGTAATCAAGTGACTTGTATGAGGGGTTAATGGGTGGATATCTAGAGGTCACATGCATGAGCAAATGTAGGGAGGGCGATGAGGTGACTATAGGAGGTGGTAAGTAGACTGCTGATCTATGTTTTTTTAACTATATATTAAAGTTTGATTGATCCTCTCCAGTGTATATTGGATATCTCCAGATATTTTATTTTCCTCCCAAACACAAACATGCTCAAAACAGATTTGGCCAAACAACAAAAGTAGGATCCTCCTGCAAACAGCCTTGAGAATTATTTTTTTAGGAAAATTAAGACACAAATACAAATTAACATACAAGCAATAACTGTGGTTAAAATGCATATAAATACATATGAATAGCGTACATTATGTGTATGTGGTTGTCTTGTGTCGGTCCCATGACTCACTTTCTAATTTAAATTTGATTCTCAATGTTGCATAGTTATATATGTATAATAAACAATGTGCAGTGCTTTGTCAATCCAATGTTGGATGCAGATCTCCCCATGCCCTTTCTGACATGAGTTCGACCATGCGTTACCATGCTGGTCAGCGCTGGTTGGTGAAGGGAGTGGAGCACCGGGGCAGTGGATAGTGCATTACGCTTTGAACCCAACGAAGCTGAGTTTGATTCCCGGCCGTGACTAATACAAGTGGCGAGTGATATACTACAGATATATCTGAATCATTCAGAATCAGAATATTTTAGACTGGAGGAATGCGATGAGCTATGAAGCTCTTTTTCACATATATCCAGTATGGGTGGGTGAGCATATTCGGAAGCCACTGGAGCTATGCAATTTTAATTCTAGATTAAAAACGAATTTATTTAGAACATCTGCAAAAAAAATGTTTTCACAAGTTTATTGTCCTTCCCCACATCTCCGATGAGCATGGTTTGCTACGTACGGTGTGAAAGAGTTTCAGCATCCAGTATGGGCGGGTCAGCATTCATGCATGGCCCCTTCGTATATTTATAAAAAAAAATAACGTCACGTTTGCTCTTGCAGACAAAGACCTGAAGACGAGCGGCTTTAGCCTGGAGAGCTGCAGGACAATGGTGGCACTCATGGATGTATCCTTCGCTGCTGTTTCATGTCCTTAACGCTCATCCTCCCCTCACCGGATCACTCGGCTGTGGCCACCAGAGCAGGAAAACCAGCCCAGTTTTGTCTGCTGGTTTGCACGCTCTCGCGAAAGGTGCCGGTCAGCTTTTTGCTCCGTAGACTTTTTTGGGGTTGCTGGAGGGGTGAGGGATGTGTGCACTTGTAGAGGCAGCACTGTGGAACGCTCTTTATTTATTTAGGCAGCCCCACCATCCTCCTCTTCCCCACCCTCTTACAGTAGGGGGTTCTTGTGAACAATACATCCCAGGCCCTGAATTCCTGTTGGCCGCAGCGATCAGGCATATAAATAGCTTACATGCTAAACCCACTCCTTAAACCAAGGCATCTGCAAAAAAAATGTTTCACAAGAGGTCCTCTGTTTTAGTAATGCGTGTGAGGTGTGGAAAACCACGTTTTATCGTGGGATATTAATGCAGTACCAACGTTGAACTTATTTTGCCCCTTTCGTAGCCACTGTGTTAACCTGAGGTGAACGTTAATCAGAGGTGAACGTCAACAGATTTACATGCAACATTGTGTCAACTAATTCCCTAAATTCAGGGGATGCTGCCATGGAATTCTGAAGTCGCTGGTTCACTTCGATCTCTCCGTTGCGGCCAATGAAACAATGGAGAGGCCTTTACCACCCCCCGCCCGCCCGCCTCTACCCAGCAGTGTTGATGGGTGCACCACAGTCAGTCGATGGGCAGGTCGCATGCGGTGGGGTGAAGTGTGGGCACCCTCGACCTATTCCAAGGCCGAATGCACTATCGGGACTCTCAAGAGCTGCCTCAAGGGGAGGCCGTTCCACCAGCAGTGGCGTGGGCAACAGAGTTCAGGGCTGCACCTTTATCTTCGCTTTACTGCATTCACTCTGAACAGCAAGTTCGTTGTAAGGGTAGATGATGCGTACACAAGGAAGGGGCTTCAAAGGAAGTCTAACATCAGGTTCGTGTTACATATTTAATATTTCATTATGCATCTCAACCATAGTATACTGTATATGCCATTGTTACATATATATTTCTTTGTACAAGCCGAGATGCCTTAACTTGGTTTGCTCAGACGGACCTTTCAGGAAAACTGGGCTACAATGACTTTAAATATCTCTGGGATAAGCTCAAGTTCTGGCAGGTAAAGTATGTGGGTGCACGGTATGAGACTTGGTCTGCTTTAAAAACACCGTATCACCTGTGGTGCTGATACATGGAACCTCCTGTACCCTGCACAAGAGTGTTGCATTGCCGCAACCTCTGCATGCAATGCTAATTACTGCCCCTAATCCATGCTATTTAGATCACTCTCTAGACACCACTGTTTTGTGTCTAACGTGTGCATATAATGATTTGCATATTTCCCCTATGCAGCACCATTTAGCACAACGAACCTGGAAGGGTAGGGTGCAGAAAAAGAGGTGGATGAGATTATTCCATACCAAGGAATTTTCCATGTGAAAAAAAATAAATCTGAATTAAGTATTTAAGATTGCTGAATAATACTTTCTATTTGGAACTTGTCTCCAAATGAAGGCATTCTATCTCAATGTGCTCCCAACGGTTTATAAAGTCATGAATTGTGTAATTCATCTTTGTTGATTCTGCCAGTGCCTTAATCCTTGGTAAATATAATGAGTTAGGCTATATATGAGCCATTGTGTGACGAGACAAAGGTAATAAATCAGGAAACTATAAAGATGAGAAGAATATGAGAGAAAGCTGATATATCTCATTGTGAACAAAGAAACACGCCATTTTAATCTGGTTTACAAATTATATATTCAGGTTGTTTTGTTGAAATACACTTCGATTAAGATGACCCCTGAAATAATTACATAATAAGTATATTATGTAATTTTATTTTTCTTATTTTTACGTGACTTTACCGGAAAAAAACAAAGATTAACCCCTGAAATGTTTGTAAGAAATTGATATTAACTCGAGTTTATATAAGCTACCATACATACTTAATGAGAATGCCTTCTCGCATGATAAATAGTTATTGCTTGCACTACACATTTGCCAGATGCTAAATTATGCACGCAGCGTTATAGTGTGTCTTGCATGTGTGTGCGTGCCATTGACATACTTTTGAATACAGATAAATGAACGTGCCGTTAAATGTATTTACTTCTTGATGTTTTCGTATTTTCTTTCCAAAGCAAATATTTCGCAAGTACGATTCGGACAAATCTGGTTCCATGACTTCCTACGAGATGCGCTTGGCCATCAATGAGGCCGGTAAGTGATTGTGCTAAATTGACAGATTGCAAAAAAATAAATTAAAGGCAAAGGGCCTCAACTAGAGTGAGCTTGGGTACCCTCCCATGCTGGCTTTACATCTTTGAAGAGGTCGAAGAACCCTCACTTTACCCCACCACACACGACTTGCCAATCGACTGTGGTGAACCCATTTGTACTGCTGCATGAACAGAGGTGGGGAAATTTAATAATAAACTTGCATAGTTGTCTAAATTGCCATGCCTGGTAGATTGAAGCGGCAACTATCGGATGCACGTCCAGTGTAGGAAGCATTTACACCATGGCAGAGTACCCTCCTGTACTACCCAAACAATAATTAATAAATGTTGAAGAGCAGCCACTGCTGTTCCTGGTGCTGCTGCCTAGGCAGCTGTGTATCAGTGTCAGGCCTCGTTACCACGTAAGTCACCAAGCTTGATGCAGCACTTGGCTGTTGAAATAGAGTCGCTCCCATGCTTAAGAGATCTTCCAACAGTGGACTGAGGCAAGCAGATCACAGGTGTGCGTCACCTCAAGTGGTGAGAGGTTTCTGATGAATCAGCCACTTGGTGAGGGCTTGGGTTAACAGCCATGATTTGGCATTTCTCAGGGTCCTGTGAAAACATTCTGCCCCAGTGACATTCGCATCGGGCATAGTTATGTGTAATGTAGATGTTTTTTGGTTGGTTATTGTGTTTGCATGCAATGATTGGCCTCGAAAGCAATTAAATTATTTTTTTTAATTCTCAGTCACGATGTGTTTTTTTTGTCTCATTTGTTCATTTTTGTTTTACGCTGCAGTGGCCTAAATATAACACGAGCATATAATTTGCATTATATTTGCATAAACTATGAATAATTGATCATCAAGCACATGATGTAATGCATGCATTGTGAATATAAGAATATTTTAATCAACAAATCAATGCATTGATACAAGCCTATTATTAAACTTTCCGGACAACTGCGTGGAGTTTAAGAGAAAACTGTCAATATATTCGAATGAGATATTAACCTCTTGGCATAAACCCGTTGATATTATTAACTTTTTATAAGGCAATGCCCTCTGAATAAAATTAAGGATCGTTAAAAACATATTGATCACATATACGTAAATGTAATTTCAAATAATATTCACATTACATTTGGACATTATTCTCGCGTATCTTCCTTTTAAACCTATATAACCCATCTCAATAATCTGTAAATAAACATTACACGTTTATATATATGTACAGTATTATATTTATTAACAACACAATGGATAATTCAGCCGGACGGTTTATGTAACGCAAAACGGCCCTGGGTACTCAAACGCTTTCCTAAAATGTTTATATTGGAAACGCCATCAGGATTCAGGCACCCACATGTTAATATTTATTTTTGGATCTAACACTCAGTTATCGCCGAGTACTGACACTATTTGGCGCGTTCAAACACTCTCCACAGGCTACCAGCTGAACAACCAGCTCTACCAAATAATCACGCTGCGTCACGCCGACGAGAACTTGAACATTGGCTTCGACAACTTCATCGCCTGTCTCATAAGGCTCGAGGCGATGTTCCGTTAGTATTTTCACACCATTGAGCGCAGATGTTATTTTGTGCTCGTGAAAATTCGACTTTGTCACTGACCTGGGAGTGCGTCCGAGCTGTGCGGAGGATTTATTTTTGGTTCAGTGCCCCACTTTACGCTTGACCGTATTTACGGTTCTGCTTGACTATCACTCTGTTGTGGTTCAGTGTATTGTTTTATTTACTATGTGCAACATTGTGTTTGCAGTGAGACAGTGTGTATGTCTTGCGGTGAATTTTTCCATGAAGATAACTGTTGTGCTAATTCCCCATAATGTAAAATGAATACCTGTATAATGGATTCCCTTTGTACGGTGTATGCAGTGTTTCTGTCTCGAGATATTTGGATGCCATGTAACCCCCTATGCTTCAATATGGAGCTACCTCTGAGTGTTTGCTTGAGTCTGCATATGTATATACATATGCAAGACTTACAACCACATTTTGGCTGAGCATGTATAATATGTTCATCTGCATGTATGGTTTAAACCTTGCCTTAACCAAAATAGGAATGTGGGCCCTTTAAGTATGTATATGTTAAGCATTTTGTCAATCCACGACTGGATCAGGGCCTCCCCAAATTAAGGTCATGGGGTTTTTTGTCTGAGTACAGAACAAGAGTGGATTTTGCTGCTCTGCCCTCTGCTGCCCACTGCATAAACCTCGCAGTCCTATACCAACCTGTTTGCGTTTGGTGGTTACATATCAAAGCACTATCCATGCTCAGCCCCACTTCGCTTTCGAGACTTGACAAGACTGTGCGCATTCCGGGTGATTTGAACATGAGCGGCCCTTTAGTACCCTGTTAAATACGGGCATTTATTTTTAATCCTGTGTAAGGGTTCGAAACTGGATGTAATATCGCACATGTCGAAATGGGAGTATAATTACAGTGCAAAGCCACCCACACGGGTCCTGCTTATCTCAGAGTCCTTACCGGTCAAGTGTGCCTACGTACCTTACCAACCAGAGGCCTGCAATCCAGTTCCTTGCCCGCAATACCAACAAAACCACACATTTCCCTGGGGTTGTTTTTTTTGTTATTGTGTGTCAATGTTCCCATATGTTTATGTGCATGCTTGTCGTTAAATTGCACAGTATTGACCGTGGCTTGCGTCCGCTAACCATTAAGGCCTCCTGAACACAAAAATACCAGTGGACTGACTTTCATGTAACAACGCTCTTGTTTATTATCCGCTTATTTGTTCAAAATGTAACCGAGCAGCAATGCATTTTTAATTATTAGGAAGCCACTGGAATTACGCCCTTTTAAATCGATATTGAAAACTAATTTCTTGAGAACCGACTTTTGTGTTTGGCTTGTTGTTCTTCCCCCACACTTCCGCTAAGCACGGTTGGCTGCGTATGGTGCAAAAGAAGTTGAACATATAAACATATATAGGCAATGGGTAATTTTATTTCGTGTGTTTTGTGCCTGTGCTTGACAAAGTGTGTGCTTTCTCTGTAAACAATTACCACTTCAAGACCACAGCGTTAACACTATGGTATGTGACGTTGATCTGCAGGAGCATTCAAGGCCTTTGATAAGGATGGGGATGGCATTATACGTCTCAATGTTTTGGAGGTGAGATGCAATCGTGCTGCATGTGAAAGTAAAAATGTGGACTCAGACAAAGGGAATATCTTAGAAATTTTAAAATGTGATCCCTCGAGAAGTGGCTGAGCTGGGTAAGAGTCTGGTTTTTAACGCATCCATGATTAAAGTGGCTTTTCAAGTATAGCGAGTTAATGGTCTCAGCTCAGTCAACAATGACGTTAAATTTCATATTTCACTTAATTTGGAAACATTGCTGCTCTTAGAATAAAAACAAAACTAAGTTTTCCATTTGGTGAACATAGCAGGGAATGTGAAATATTGCATCACTCTTAGTGTGGATCAGAGGACGCACAAAATGATCTCATAAATAGTTTGCTGACATCTCCCTCCATGAGCTGTTTTCTAACACTGAGTGCATGAATGACATTTAGATATTTCTCTGTCTCATGTCATGATGCTGATAGCAAATATCCAACTTAAATTTTGAAAAACACAAGAAAATTGTCCCTCCGATCCAGCAATAGTCTCGAGTTCTATATCAGCAGTGTGGCATGCTGTACATGACCCATTTGATTTAACACTTGACACCTAAATTTTGATTTAAAGCTTTCGTGACTGCAGTAATTCATATTCTTAGTTTTTTCGGTAAAGTCACGTTGAAGAGAAACAACAAAATAATAAAATATATATAACAATAAAAAATTCTCACGACGTTTCGACCATAACTCAAACGGTCATCTTCAGGTGTGTTGGTTTGCATAAATGTATTTATAAACGGCGCATTTATTTATTTATTTAAAAAACACGTTAGCGCCACGCGCAGCGATTTGGCAGTTTACCCAGGACTAGTCCATCTATATTCTGAAAAGAGGAGGGGGGAGACGACATTTTTTTATAATGTATGCTGTCTGAACGCCACTGTAAGCGTGATTCTATCTTAGCAATCATTGGAAAGATTTGATAAACCATTTCAGTTCTTAATTGATTGTTCACGCTTACAGTGGCTTTCAGACAGCATACATTATAAAAAATGTCGTCTCCCCCCTCCTCTTTTCAGAATATAGATGGACTAGTCCTGGGTAAACTGCCAAATCGCTGCGCGTGGCGCAAACGTTTTTTTAAAATAAATAAATGCGCCGTTTAAAAATAAATTTATGCAAACCAACACACCTGAAGATGACCGTTTGAGTTATGGTCGAAACGTCGTGAGAATTTTTTATTGTTTTATATATATTTTATTATTTTGTTGTTTCTCTTCAACGTGACTTTACCGAAAAAACTAAGAATACTTGACACCTAGTTTGCAAATGGCTGGAACAGCTCGGCCAGCATGTAAACCTGGAGTAAGGTGTGCAGCTGTAAAATTTTATGTGAATCTGGCTTGTAATACTTTTGGGAGAAATTCATTGAAAATACCTCATTTTACCATATAAGCGGAGATTCTCAGCATGAGAGTAAACAAATGACATTTCTATATAGATGTCATATTGTAAATGAAAATTGTTTAAGGCAGCTGTAATACTCTTCTGAGTCCATGGACATTTTTAAGCAGGCATCTGTGCTCATTTGAACGACAAGGTAAACTTGGATCTTTGCCCTGCGGCATGCACAACAAATACAGCTTTCTGATTCATTAATTGGCCATTTGCAGCCCAAATGTTGTGAACAAATAAACTTTCCTAACCGACATGCTCAAAAATGCGAGAGCAAAACATTTACTGGAAATGCTTTCTCTCCTCCTATAAATGCAGGCCACAATATTTGTTATTACAGCAGGGGTCAGATTCACGCAGGGGCTTTAGGGGCTGCAACCGAGGGCCTTGGATTTACAGGGCCCCATCAAAAATACAGATACTGCATAATAGTATTTGAAACACAATACTACAGCACTATGATAAATCGTTTAGTGTCAGTTGGTAAATAAACCATAGCACCACTATATGTATTATTACCAGTTACGTACTGAAAAAATGTTTTTTTTAACTTTGATTTAGCTTTACAATTCGTACATCACATTTAAAAGTTGAACTGAAATTGTCAAAGGTAAACAACAATGGAGTGTTAGCATCGGGCGTACATGGTGGTAAAACAGTCAAGAGAAGGAATGTAATATACAGAGGGGCCCTCTATAAGGGCACCGCAGTGGCAAGATTTTACTCCCTCGCCTGGTATACAGGAGTTCGTGGGTTCGATCCCGACCCTGACACCTGTATATTTGGAGTTTGCATGTTCTCCCCGTGGTCGCATGGGGTTTTCTCCGGATTCCCCGGTTTTTCTCTCCACATTTAGAAACATGCCTCTCGAGTATTTGGCTGCTGTCGATTTCCACATCATACGGCACTTCGCTAAGCTATCATTTGTGGTCATGTCGCCTATGAAAAAGAGCTATATAGCTCAGTGGGTCTTACTCGGTAAAATAAATATATATTTTATTTAGTTTATTAGAGCATCGGGCCCCCCATCAAACGTAATGCAGCCCTGAATACACAAATAAGGTTCGCTCCTACAGACGCCCAATGCATGCAATTTAATTTAATGCCGATTTGTGTTTTTTTGTTTCCTATTTAGTGGCTCCAGCTGACAATGTACGCGTAAGAAGAGATCGAAGTGTGTGGCCGAACCACAGACATGCAATGAGTGAACAAAGAAGGCTCAAAGTAGAGAGGAACGTGACCTTGGGAACTTACGTGGCATTCATCATAGTTCTATCGGTGTGCGAATGCATTCATGTTTATCTTGTTTCAAAACAACAATGCTCACAACCAAAGTCACGTCTCTCTGTTCAATGATGTATTTTCACGTAGCAGCATGCTGTGAATATACCTTTCGGAGTATTTGGTCTGTGTGAAGAATCTTCAGGGCCTCGCTGCTGTCGGTAGTTTATGCAAAGGCTATCGTCGCAAGAGGTCACACGTTTGAGCACAATGGTCCATCGCTGACTATGCGTGATGAATGAAGAATCTTCACTTGTAGGTACCATTGTAGAAAAATGAAATGCAAATGGAAGCTTGTAATGTACGTATGTATATTGAACTTCTTTCGCACCGTACGTAGCCAACCGTGCCCTACCTTTTTGTACTAAAGTGCAAGGAGGTTTATTGCATGATCCAACTTGCTAGCAGCCTAAAATTGACAGAATTTAATTTCGGAGCATGTGTCATATTGTAGCCGAGTAATTGTGGTTGCATATCTTGTGTGCGATGCAGCATCTATCATGGTCACTGTAATACAGTTTGTATTGTAAAACATCATGGTGATACGGAGGTTTTTCTGTTTCCCATAAATAGAAAATAAAAAATTCAAACTACAAATCTCAGTGATGATTTATGCTAATTGAATATTATGAGAGGTTCATAATGTGACCTTGTGGTCTGTTGATTTTGCAAAAGGGTGGTAAATGGAAACTGATTATTCAGCAGGAGAGGGAAAAAATGCAACTGCCCTTTTCAAACTATAATTGGTCATTCTTTTTATGCTCGACACATTCCACTTAAAAAGAGATGAACATGCCACTAGGAAATTGATCATGCATAAACTACATTGTGACCTAACTTTTGTCAATCTCATTTCAGAGCTTCATTGCCGAGAAATTACTTTCCTTATTGCACATACATAATCAATAGTGAGCCATGGTCAATCTACTGGTGGATGAAGGCCTCCCCAAGTTGCCACCACCTATTACAATCTTGTGGTACAAATATGGCACCTAACACCTACTGCCTGCACAAAAACTAGTTTCAGAATAAATATAAGATATAAATGAATAAGAACATGTTTTTACGTGAAATTTATCCCTTTGGTCTTCACGGATAATGCATTTGTTTTGTCTGACAAAATGAACAATACTCGAATACCTCTGTTTTCAGGTTTAGTTATGTAACACTTATGTGTACGAGTGGGTAGCGCTTACTGTAGCTTTTTTCATCGTTTAAATTGACTGTCATATAAAGCACTTGCCAAATAAGAAGCCGTAAATTGCCTTAAAAGAGTACAGTTTTTTATGAAGAGTATGACCACTAGATATTAATGTCAGTGTAATACAAATGAAGATCACGGTACATGCAGAAATAGCTTACAACACAATTCATATACACAATGAGGATTTTACACGCGCGTCAATCACTGTAATGAATTATTTTTTTTAAGACTATATAATTTATGTAGGAAGTCAAAACCAAAACAGAAAAATTTCAGCAGTTGGTGTGGTCACGATGAGTAATATAGTTTAGTCAAGAGTAGGATTATATCTTTCACAAACAATCCAAAACCGGTCTAGCAGGGTAGCATGGCAAGGGCCGATTCCATAGGAAGTATCGAGTGGCAGCTTATTAGCCGCCCAGACTTGTAACCACATGGCCAAGAGGGGAGGAGAGTTAACATTTAAGAGATACAGTCAATCGAAATTTATTTAAGGCCTGCACTTTATGTTTGCTGTACAGTATTCTTATGCGTTTTGACCCGAATCGACGGGGTTTCCACCCCCCAACCCCCACCACTTAGCAGTAAGGACGGCGACAAGAGTGGCACAGAGACGCTTGCTGCTTAAAACACTTCCATCCACCTCGCCACGTGCTTTCTTTCTGTAATTACCACCACCCCCCATTGGCCTTCCGAACTAATGTTATCCAATGCGTTTGGTAAGCTAGCAAATGAACTGCGGACCGGTTTTCAACCCTTATGCGTCTCATCAGTGGCGGCGAGTTGAATACTGTGCATGCTGCTGGGTTGCCACACGTTATCGGCAACAATCATCCACTTTAGCTACGCTTACAAAACCCTCGGCTCTTTCCTATCGGCAGAAACGGAAGGGCCGGTGTGTGGCTGAGGCTGTGACTGCCTAGAAGAATGACGGAATGTGTCTTGTGCTGCATTAATCCGCCATGCAAATGCCAGTGCTGGGGATGCCTGTGTAACTTTAGAGCCAACCCGGATGCCTGTGTAAATACTGTAACACACACGTGCTGTTTACATTGGGCAGAATGATCTGCCAGGTTTGAAAATCATCCATAATGTGCATGCACTGTTTAGAAAGCCACACTTCAGGTATTTTGTACAAGTTTTATACGAAGGAATTCCGTTGCCTTTGGGAGGGCATTTTTGCCAGCTTGGCTGACAATTGCCCATCACAAATCAATGATGGAGTAGGGCATATTACTTTTTAAATCCTAATTTATCACAGCATACCTGCTACAGACATTTCATTTAAAGATCAAGGGCTGGAATTGATCACTTACATTAAAAAGCCGATACAATGTTACAACATCGTCTCATTTTTTTGTTCAGAAATTCAGAACAGGGTACGTAAAATTTGGAAATTTGAGGCAATAGAAAAACAATCCTTTATTGTGAAGTAATTTTAATTGACACATCAAGTATAAATTTGCATAGAATCAATCTGTAAATGAGTAATTAAAATGTAGTTATGAATTGAACAGAGGAGAATGTATGAATCATTGTTATTTGCCGCATATTAATGCAAATCACACCTACCAAAAGCCATGAAAATGGTTGTTTGGTATCATGTTTTTTTAAAATTAGTTTTGGTTTTCTTCATTTTTACCAGCTGTTGAATGTAATTGGATCTTAATTGCTTCTGACCAGCTGTTATACTGTTTAAAGTGTAATGTATAATTACTGTACAGTGTATGCACTACTGTAATATGCATTCAACTTTGCTTCTCATTTAACCAGATTAGTTTCCAACGGCATATAGTCTATGCAATACAGAAGTGAATTAATCTATCCGTGAAAAGAAAACAATAGGCGAAATAAGTTGTAGCTTTTCAATTAGTCTCATAACACCAGACAATGACCTACACTTGACAATCTTGTCATATGCTCTTGACCATCCTATATATATAGATACAAACTGGCCCATTGGTAATTCCAGCGCAAAGCTACTGGTCTCTCAATATATGTGTGGTGAGTTCAATTGAGTCGCAGGCGTAGACTTGGAGGCAACACATTTATTCAACTCCAACACACAGGGTAACTCTCCCCTTAACAGAATAACAACCTATGGTGGTGACCACCAGGCTAACTACACTAGTTACTACACTAATTACAATGTAAAGGGCTACTACGGACCGGGACCAACAGCTCGGGTCCAGGTCCACGTGTTGGAGACTCGTTGAACAGAGAACGTTGTCGAAGGTTTCTTCCAGGATGAACAACAATCCCGGGCCCTCTCGGGACCCTGCTTATATGATCTGCAGCGTGGCTGGCTCCGCCCTAGGCCACTACCACCTTCGAGAATCCTCGGGAAGGATCTGGGTTCCAATCACGTGACCACCCCTAGCCCCCTCTGGGGCCCCTTTGTAGATTTAACTAGTCACGTGTCCTCCCGGGTCAACCAGAGTGCCATGGCCTTGAGTAGACTCATCCTTAGGCCGGCACTCACACACTCTGTCCTGTAGGGTTGGCACTACACGCAAAGCGTGGTGCCATCTAGCGCTATTAATCAGCGCTCACCGAGCCCCTTTAAGGCCGGTACTACACCCACACCATTGCGGTATCTGCGATGTTGCTACATATGTAATGGATATATAATATTGTAAGTGAATATCTTAGCACTATAAGATGTGCTATATCCACGGGTGCTTGAGTAAGGTGTTATTACTTATTTCTAGTGGATTAGCTCAGCACTATAATTAGTTGCCAAGATTCAGATCGTTTCCAATGTCATTAGGGCACCACATAATTCACCTGTAGATATATTAAATACGATTTTGTAAATACAACATTGCTGTTTTGCACAGACAGTATGGCTTTTGAAAATAACATCTGGTAACACAGTAGCATTTGTTTAACAGGTCTAACTCTGCTGATACGCAGAAAGTTGAAACCAATACAGATGCTGCCTGCATTTTTGCTGTTTGCCTGCTTGAATAAATTATCTTGCAAAACATTTATCTGGAGGGCCAACATGCTGATGGAGTTAATATTATTTCATGTGGAGAGATATGCTTGTCCATTTATTTATCTACGTAATTAATAATAAATGACAGCCCTTTGTCAATTTTCTGGTGTATGAAGACATCGACACACTGCAGTCATGGAAGTTATTTGATCATACTTCACCAGTTCAGGTATCGCTCTCTACTGATGTTCGTGGTGGCTGGGAAGTCAATTCTGTTTTCCGGGTTCAGAGCTCCGTGCATGAACCACGGAGCCACCCCTATCAATATATCTGTACTGTATAAAATTAGTTTCAACTTAAGCTGCATTTTTTTAAATAGAAAAAATTATTGAATAGTGACTATTGGTAATGATTAACACGTACGTGAACCAGGTGTGTACAGGAGGACCTTTTAGTAAAGGCGTTGGCTTAACCAATACGTGTGGATGTAGGTTAAACCTCTTTCGCACCGTACGTAGCCAACCGTGCTAATCGGAGGTAGTTAGAGCTATGCACATGGTGTTCTACAATTTGAAACGCCAACATTTTTTTCTCAAATGGGGGCAACGGTAAGTGTGAATGATTCACATTTGCGCAAAGCATACCGTTCCTTGCAGTGCTGGCATTTTGTACCCTACGTTTAATCTAAAAACAAAGCCACAGGGGTTATGTTGCTCAAGCTTGACTTAGGAAGTTTCAGAGCTTCCGTCTCGAAACATAAGACAGATGAACAAACTTTGTCTCCCAAGCGCTTGTGCGAGTGCCAACTTGAAATGGCATGTGATCCTGAGAGAGTATGGCAAGAGGGCTCAAGGGAAACCATCAATCTAAGCAGCGCTGCCCTCTGTGCCCTTTAATACGTTGCTGGCGATGACCCGATTACGGGCTCACACAACCGCCATAAACTATTATAGTGAAACAATTCAACCTCTGGCTCCAGTTTTTATGGTAAATGATGTGCCTTGCACTGCACATTCTATTGCACAAGTGGGTCTGGCACAATGGAAGTTTTCCGGGTGCTTATAAAAATCGCCTTTAGGCTTAGCGTGGTAACAGCTGAAATCATACAGATGATAATACGATACAATTCGACTGTTGAACCTACATTTAAAGTTATTTCTTGGCTGAAGAAAAACATCAAGTTAATTTTCTGTATGATAAAAGGATGATAGTATGATAGCATGGCAGCATGCCATGTCAACTATATTTACAATAGTGTTGTTATTTTCAATCCCCTTTCTGAAAACCTACTGCTGTCTGAAGGCCTTTAAACCATGTGGGTTAGTGAAGGGGTGGCCGAAGAGTGGTTCTCATATCAGCCACCAATGATGCTAGCCATGACCAAGAATCAAACGCAGTTCACTGGGTTCATAGTGTAGTGCACTAACCACTGTACCACCCTATATTATGCATTCCAAAACTAAATATATTTTATTTACAGTATGTAGAAGAGCATTTACCCCCACGAAGGTCCTGTTTGGAATGTATGTCAAATTCCTTGAATACATTTGCCTTTCGGTGGAGATAAGAGTGGCCAAAGAAAAACCGCATACTACTTTTTCAGAAGTCAGTAATAGTTCTGTAGTGTTCGATTTCACTCGGACAACTTCTGTCTTTCTGTGAACACCGCTTTATTTACAACTCTCAGCATGTCCTCCATATTCCACAGTATCCTGGTCGCCACGGCTCGCTCGCCGTGCTTCACTTGACTCGCTCGCCACCTTTGTCTCTCCACTCCCCACGATTACTTCGCTTGCTACGCACTCAGCGACTCTGCACTTAGCAACTCCGCACGCAGCGTCTTCACACACAGCGTGTCTTCGCATACAGCGACTTCGCACACAGCGTGTCTTCGCATACAGCGACTTCGCACACAGCGTCTTCGCACACAGCGACTTCGAACACAGCGACTTCCACCCTTCAACTCTTAACTCCAACTCTGTCTCTCAAACTCTGTCTTCCAAACTCTGTCTCTCAAACTCTGTCTTCCAATCTCTGTCTCTCAAACTCTGTCTTCCAACCTCTGTCTCTCAAACTCTGTCTTACAAACTCTCCACACTTCAACTCCCCCCAAGCTCTCCAGCTTCAACCCATCTCAAAGCTCTCCGCTCTTCAACCTCTCTCCAAGCTCTCCACCATTCAACCCCCCTCTGTTGACTCCGACTCCCGCTCTTATACCCGCTCTCATTACACCCCCAATTAATTAACCCGCGTCCCAATGGCACTCCACGTGACCGTCACGTGTTTCTCGCCAGACTTCCAGACGCCTCTCCAGCCCCGGCAACAGCACCAACCAATCACAGCCGTCCACGGCTCTCTCAGCTTAATTGCCCCAACATAACCTGCACTGTATTTGCCTTCGCTACAGGCTGACCCAAGATAACCCGTACTGTCTGTGTGATCATGTAATCACGCTGTTTCCACAACGCACCTTCCTACTCTACTACAGTTCTATGAAAAAAGGTTTCCCTCCACACTGTGGGATGTCTCCCACTGGTTCAGGGCTCTTGAACAGAGATTAGTTGTAGTTCAATAATGCATTTATTGATGTTTTCGTAGAACTCCTTTGGCTCATGACACATGCTTCTTAGGTTGATTGATTCACGTGGTCCCTACAGACAATGTAAAACCATAACATCACTTTTAACGTATCTACTCCAAAAACACATCGTGTTTGACCACTAACCACACATCGTTATTTGAAAACTCCTTATGTAAGGGGGCATGTTGTGAGGCTTGATTTAAAACTAGACAAAGCGACAATGTCCATAGTTGTAATGGAAGTTGGCTACGTGATGTTGGAGATAAATTGACAACTGCTGTCACATGCCCTGGCCAGAAGGGTTGATGGCACCACCAGGAGATGGGATCCTGCTAATTGGAGTTGAATAGATGCCGATGGAAACCCGTCACAAAAAACCATGAGGACCTGTGAATATACCCGGTCTTGAATGAGACACATGTATGAATTATACTACAGGGTATTCCCTGAGTTTCCAGCCACGGCTAACAATCAGTGGCACAGTGACACAATCGCCGGTCTCTGCCCACCAAACGCTCACTGAGACCAGCGTGGTGACGTATGGGCAACCAGCGTGGTGACGTATGCCAACCAGCGTGGTGACGTGAGGGCAACCAGCGTGGTGACGTATGGCCAACCAGCGTGGTGACGTGTGGTCACGTGCCGAGGGGTTTCCGTGGACTTTGAACACTCAACGTGTCCGCTCCCTCCCCAACTTTGTTCACGTTCCCTCGAATGGGTTGAGTGACAAAAAAATAAAGTAATAATGTGAACGTACGTAACTAGTTCAACACGTAGGCTTTTGCGACCAATATCATCCATAATCTAAGTTAAAAAAATCTATTCTAGAATTTTTCAATGGATTAAACTTTCGTGATTGCAGGTATTCATATTCTTGGTTCTTTCGGTAAAGTCACGGAGAAGGGAAATAATAAAAAACAAAAACATTTCGTTATAATTTTGTTGTTTTATTTTGATTATTTTATTATTTCCCTTCTACGTGACTTTACCGAAAGAGCCAAGAATATGGATTAAACTTTGTTGACTATCAATGTTTGCTATACTTTTTGCAAGAGTATGGTAACGATGAAAACGTTGTCCCCCAGCCTGGACGGGTCGACCAGCCCCTTACACTCTTCACAAACTCCCCTGAGGCGATAAAAAAACAAAAACTGTTGACGTCGGAAAATAGGGAGATTTTCGCGGAGTTTACAAGACGCAAAAACAAACTCCTCCCGCCCAACACAATCGACGTAACTGCGTGCGGAGTAGTAATAAAAAAATAAAATAACAATGATGGTTCAAGTGCAGAAGGGGGCGCGATGCAGCCTCCTCAGTTCCGCGCCCGACACGGGGGCGGCAGCCCGCCACCACAGCTCTTGTTTCCCCTCAGTTCGCTTTTTGTGGGTTTTTTTTAAATTTTGTTTTGTTTTGCTTTTTTAAAACAAAACAAATATTGATTTGTTCACGACGACGATAGCCCGACGCGGCGGAGGACTTTGAGCGGAGATTTAGTGTTGTGGCTCTCGCTACGTTTGGACGAGTTTTGGTTTATGTTGTCGTCGTCGTCGTTGTCGGAAGACGGCGGCGGCGTTCGCCTGAGGCCTGGAGTGAGCTGCTCCCCTCCCAGAGGCCTGCCCTTACCTGTGAGTGCCCTGCCCGCTCTTGTTGTTTCTGTCGTCGTTTACCTCATTTTCATATATATAAAAACAGTAACACGCACACACACGCACACTTTTTAGTGAGGAACAGCGACGTGAGGGGTGTTTTTTTGTGTTTGTGTGCGCGCCGGCACTTTAATTCGCAACATTCGAGAGCGTTTCTGTTGGTCCACCACCACCACAACCACGAGCGTGTTGAGGAGAGGGGTCCACCACCACCAGTAGCCCCCTCGTGTTGAGGAGAGGGGTCCACCACCACCAGTAGCCCCCTCGTGTTGAGGAGAGGGGTCCACCACCACCAGTAGCCCCCTCGTGTTGAGGAGAGGGGTCCACCACCACCAGTAGCCCCCTCGTGTTGAGGAGAGGGGTCCACCACCAGTAGCCCCCTCGTGTTGAGGAGAGGGGTCCACCACCACCAGTAGCCCCTTCGTGTTGAGGAGAGGGGTCTACCACCAGTAGCCCCCTCGTGTTGAGGAGAGGGGTCCACCACCACCAGTAGCCCCCTCGTGTTGAGGAGAGGGGTCCACCACCAGTAGCCCCTTCGTGTTGAGAGGGGTCCACCACCACCAGTAGCCCCCTCGTGTTGAGGAGAGGGGTCCACCACCACCAGTAGCCCCCTCGTGTTGAGGAGAGGGGTCCACCACCACCAGTAGCCCCCTCGTGTTGAGGAGAGGGGTCCACCACCACCAGTAGCCCCTTCGTGTTGAGAGGGGTCCACCACCAGTAGTCCCCTCGTGTTGAGGAGAGGGGTCCACCACCAGTAGCCCCTTCGTGTTGAGGGGGGTCCACCACCACCAGTAGCCCCCTCGTGTTGAGGAGGGGTCCACCACCACCAGTAGCCCCCTCGTGTTGAGAGGGGTCCACCACCACCAGTAGCCCCCTCGTGTTGAGGAGAGGGGTCCACCACCACCAGTAGCCCCCTCATGTTGAGGAGAGGGGTCCACCACCACCAGTAGCCCCCTCGTGTTGAGAGGGGTCCACCACCACCAGTAGCCCCCTCGTGTTGAGGAGAGGGGTCCACCACCACCAGTAGCCCCCTCGTGTTGAGGAGAGGGGTCCACCACCACCAGTAGCCCCCTCGTGTTGAGGAGAGGGGTCCACCACCACCAGTAGCCTCCTCGTGTTGAGGAGAGGGGTCCACCACCAGTATCCCCCTCGTGTTGAGGAGAGGGGTCCACCACCAGTAGCCCCCTCGTGTTGAGGAGAGGGGTCCACCACCAGTATCCCCCTCGTGTTGAGGAGAGGGGTCCACCACCAGTAGCCCCCTCGTGTTGAGGAGAGGGGTCCACCACCAGTAGCACCTTCGTCGTCCCTGTAGCGTTCGCGTCGCATGGAGCGTGACCCGGCAGTGTTAGCGCTTTGTTTAAATCTCACACGTGTGTATATGTGTGTGTGTATGTGTGTGTATGTGTGTATATGTGTGTATTTGTGTGTGTAAAGGTTGCAGAGCACGCACACACACCGCTTGTGCACTTTAATCACGGGGCTTATGTAACTACACCTCGATTTAGTCCACGCTTGCTGTGTTACTGTCCGCGTTTGTTGTAGGGTAGCGTTTGCGTGAGCCGATGCTGATTTAATTGGGTAATGCGAGTGGATTGTTTTTGTGCCTTGGTATGCTTTAAAAATTAAATTACATGTCAATAATAATAGTGTAACGTTCAATTGTACACGGTAAGTTAGGTGAATGCGGAACTGTGCGCTGGTGCTGACTCAATGGAGTCATTGTGTCCACATTCCGTGATGTACACACACTAGTTATAACTGGATATCCTAATGTTTACTTTGTATTATAATGTCTATAGTTAAAAGGTCGATCTGTACGCTCAAACAGTGAGACAAATGTACAGTGTGTGTGTAATATATATACAAAGCTAACCCCGATCTTTACCAACCGACTCGCATTGACCAACGATGGGGAAGTATGGTCAAACGACTCCAATTAAGGAAGTCCATCCAGAAGTTGATTGGTAATGGATGTATTAAGTATAAATCAGTTTTAATATTTCGAACAATAAAGGTGTACAGTTCTGTTTGTCCACTTTCATTTATAATGATTAATTGTATGATTTTAAACTGGCCAATACACAATATCCCGAGTTCAGGGAAAGTGTTGTTCATGATTAGCATGAACAGACACTAATGATTAATTAGGGGTCACCTTTCACTTACACGTTCACAATGGTGACTCAGGTTGTACTGTGGTGACACATTCTCTGGTCATTTAATTTGGATCCGAGTGTGGGGACAATTGTAAATTGTTTTGATATTAAGTATTTTAGTTTTCCGTTAGTGACAACATGTTTTTACCCCCAAACTACAATATATAATTACAGATACAGAGTATTTAATTGCCGGTCTAATGAACACACTACAAATGTAACTTAAAACTACAGTAATTGCACTGTGTTGAGATCGCAATTTTCCTTCGTTGTGGTTAAATTAGTCCTTTAATCAAACTACTAGTATTTCCCAGACGTGACTTTATAATATATTTACGTGTCATGAAGTTTGAGAAACTATGCTGCGAGAAATCTAATCCTGCTGTATGATTACGGCTCCTTCCCGGCAGAGTTTGATCTCCTTGACATTTGACTTAACAGGCAAACAGCTGATTGTGCAGTCCCCTCCACACGAATGTGCTTGGCCCGGATGGAACATTTTCGTTCTTCGGTGTTACATTCCGAGACGTATACTGCATGGAATCCTTTCTACGACTCCAGTTTGAGATGATGCTTCATCTGCGCAATGCATAGCTGTGCAAGTGTGGTGTGATATACGCAGTATACACTGCGTAACTCAATTGGTATTCAGTTTAGCACCGCAGGCTTTCGCCTGATGAAGCTTTTTGTATTAACCAGCGAAACGTTGGACTCAAATTGTAAGTGTTGTGGGTTTCCTCTCCAGCACAGCAGTATGCTGAAGTAGTAACTAATTGGCACGTTTTGTGTACGTGACAAACCTTACTAATTGGCTGTGGAGGGTGGTTAACTACACTTATATTTACGCGATCTAAACCCCCCCCCCAAAAAAAAAACCTATATTATTAAACTAGATTGGAAGCTTTATTATTGTCAGTTGTATGGCGTTGTTTTGCTTGGAAGAAGGGGTGTGTGAAAGGGAAAATAAAAAAAGCATTACCTTGGAGGAATGATTGCGATGTTTGCAACTGTTTCCACGGGTTATTGTACTGGAATAACTTCCTTTTGCTCGCCTTTCCGCAAGCTTGATTATCGTGACCCCCCGCTCCATGCATGGTGTGTTGTAGGCTGAAAAGCAGCAGTTCCTATTGAGGAATGGAATTTTTCTTAGCAGTTGTAACTCACAGTGACCTTAATAATATTGGCCACGTGGCAGTCATGTGATGGTTAATGTAGAAACCACTGGCCTCAAGCATGGAGAGATTAAACATTAACAGAGAATAGAAAACATTACATTTCATGTCAGCACAAACAAAAAGAGACGGCATTGGGTACACCTTCAGTGTCACTCCCTTAAGGCCGAGACGTGTGTAAACTAATGAAACGCGTTATTTGGAACTAGTCTACTCGAAGACTTCCACAGGGGAAAAAAAACTATCATTGGCAGAAACCCAGGTCCGCGCACTGTACGTGTGCAATATTCAGTTGTATGAAGTGTTTGCTCATCTGGGCTTTGGAGACGTTTTGGCGACTTTAATGCTTGCTGTTTGCCTTGAGTTTGGCTAATAGTCAGCCAGAGGCCAAGTTAATAACGTTTGTTAAGCAACTACTCTCAGTGTGGACGAGTGTCGGTTGCCAGTCGTGCATACAATGGTTAGGCATGATGGTTGTCAACATGGACCTATGCCAACCCCAGCTTTGGAAGTCGCTGGAGTGGAATGTGCAGAAAGAAGCATTCAAGTTCCAACTTTATGAGCCATGACGAGCCACTGATTAAGAGCATTTCAATTTGTGAGTTTTTGATGAATCTTTAAACTAATACGTAGTAGATTTCATGTACAGTATGTGGTACACAAAATTGATTTGTACTCTGTTGTCAGACATTACCAACTTATTTTAGTTTACCACTGAGTGAAGGTACACTAGTTCATATAAAGCTTTTATAGGCCATACCTACTTGTACCAGCAGTGCAGTTCGCTCAGAGTTTTCCGTTTAGAAAACATGTAAACATTTTTGTTGTCTTGTAAACTCCATAAAATCAGTATTTTTTATGTTAAAAGCTTGTTTTCTCGCTTAGGGGAGTGGAAAGAGTGGAATAGGCTGTCGACTAGTTAAGGCTCGGACAAAGTTTTAATTGTTACCATACTCTTGCAAAAGTATAGCAAACACTGATAGTAAACAGTTTAATCCATTAAAATATTGTAGATTAAATAGATCATTTGGAACATACCACTCTTCCTTTTCATTTGTGAGTTCAATTTTCCAAAAGGAGTCCAACCTGTTTTCGGATGCCTCTTGTATAATTTTGATCCAGATCCACCTTCAGTCACAGCCAAATGTACAGTGTAATGAAAAATGCCACACCATTTTCCAAAAGAAGAAGATTTTAAGCAGTGTGTATGGCCTGCGTTACCACGTGATCAGAAACATGAACATTGGCAGAGTAGAATTAAAAGGTGAAAAGTGCACAAAGAAGCATGTTGAGGTTCATTCTTGAAATTACTCTGAGAGACAGGGTAACATACACAAGAACACATACACAAGGGGCATCATATTGACTCTTATGAATTGTGGGCTGTGCCTGTGGTTGAGGCTAACGATGGAGTGAGCCAAAGGAGAGAACACAAGATGTCTACCTTGGAGATGGAGAAATATCTTTGTGTGCAGGAGTTGGGTTGTTGCATTAAATACTGGGAAAGATCGCAATGGCTTGGTTGGTCAATAAAATAATGTGGATAGTTCAAGACTGCTGATGATTAGGCGGCTCCTTTTGCATGAAGACAAATCATTGTGTCTGTTTTTCTCTTGCACACAGTCATGATTTGTCAGTAAACGGAATTGAT